AAATAAAATGCTAATTAGCTGCTAATGTGGCTATCATAAAGAAGTACAAATGCCATGATGATCTGGACGAGACTGCCGAATCGAGGCAAAGGGAAGAATCTCTGGATTAACTGTTAGCTAAATTTAGTAATGAATAAATTGGCTACATTTCTTTACATTTACAATTCTGTGAACTGTCTTGTGCAAGTTTTAAATTGACACAATACCTGTTTGCAAAGGTGTCAGCTAGAGATGATGAGCAGGAGCTTGCAGGGATTTGTAGTCTTGCATGATGTCTACTTTGATGCTAATAAGCATTGTTGAATCTGAGAGTAAATAGAGCTGAATATATTGATAAAAGTCACCTTGTCCAAGAGAGATTTACATGGTTATCAAAACGTCACGACAGGGTAAGCCTACACGAAACACAGCCCTTATTTTAAGCGTTTCTAAAATTCCTTATGGGAAAAATGAATGGTGTTAAAACGATTGGAACCATTTCCCTGTTTGACCGTTAGGTTTTATGGGTATTATGGCACCTCCACTGTGGGGCTCTATACATGACTAATCAAATGTCATCTATGCTGAATAATAACCTCAGAAGGTCATGGGAATTTCTACTGATATGATGACCCGTCTACATCATTTCATTGTACAAAATGTTCTGTATTTTCTTAGCTTTGCCGTGAAGTTGGGTGGATGTTACTGATGTGGTTCTCATTGGTACAGCATGGTACTGTACTGTACACCATGTTATGTGGTCAAAGTTAAACTAACATCAACAACCAGCCAGAGAGAGATCATTCCAGCTTTCTGACCTGTAACACACTGTTCTAGTATGAGACGTGACTGGAATGTCTTTATTGGTGTCCCAAATGGTACCCTATTCTCTATAGACGGGTTGGCTGATAATGCCACAAAAATGATGCATGCGCATCGATAGAGCCGGAAGCAGTGCTTTGTTATGAATCTGAAAGGTCAGATACCTAGCAACAATGACAAGAAGCTGCCATGTGGGGAATCGTAGGTGGCTTGTTTCAGCTAGTTGTATCTTGTTTCTGATACCATGTCTTGTTTAGAGGTGTTTTGACTGATGTCAGTGATAATATGGCTAAAATTCGCTAGCTAGCTAGCCAACAACTATAACGATGCATTTGAGAGACAACAAGTGCTCATTGTGCAAATGTATTTATGTTTTCAATAAACATTTGGAGACTAAATATAGTTTACATGTTGTCAACAGTCTAAGTCAACCCTGTGTGTTTTTCCCCATAGTTGCGCACACGTCAGTTTTGTTACTAAACAACCAACCCGTCTATATAGTGCACTACTTTTGACCAGAGCCCTATGAGCCTGGTCAAAAGCAGTGCACTAAATAGGGAATAGAGTACCATTTGGGATTCAGCCTGTATGATTTGGAGATTCCAGGGTGAACAAACAGGGAGAAATGTGAATGCTTGGCACTGTTGCATTGATGAAATAATGACGTTATAACAGCTACACAGTGGCACTGACAGAATGGGGTGGGGGCTGCTAAAATAATTGAAATGAATGGTTCATACACACTGTGTTGTAAACACACACACACACAGTCACACACATACACAAACACCATCTCCCGGTCTCCATTCCTTTTCCAAAGAGTGACACCGGGGCCTTTGTTTTCCTGAGCTCAGTCCTTCAGTCTGAAGCAGGAAGTGAAGAGCTCCCTGATAGCCAGCACTTCCTGCCACTCAATAGTGATACTGAGGCTGGGAAGACGTGTGTGTGCGTGTGCGTTGCAGCTTGTCGTCTGTATAGAGGACTGTGTGTGTGTGTGTGTGTGTGTGTGTGTGTGTTTGTGTGTGTGTGAGAAACAGACACCGTCATAATGTTGTTTTAAAGCGGCGGTAGAGAAAGAGGGACGGAAATGAAAACAAAAGGAAGCAAAAGAGGCTGAAGAGGAGAGGAGAGGAGAGGAGAGGAGAGGAGAGGAGAGGAGAGGAGAGGAGAGGAGAGGAGAGGAGAGGAGAGGAGAGGAGAGGAGAGGAGAGGAGAGGAGAGGAGAGGAGAGGAGAGGAGAGGAGAGGAGAGGAGAGATGTAAACAAATAAATGGTCAAGGGAGGAGAAAGTGAAGGAGAGAGAGAGAGAATAAACTAAAGCAAAGCAGAGAAACGACAAAGGAGAAAGGGGGACTGGTACAGGACGTGAGACTGACCTCTAAAAGAAAACAAACAAGAGAAAGAAAGAAAGACAAAAGTGAGAAAGGAGGGAGTGGACATGAAAATGGTAGGTGGAAAAGCATGAAGTTAAGCATGAAGGGTTCAACTTTAAACAAGTAAAAGAGAGGAAGGAGAAAGTGAAAGAGAAGATAAGTGATGAAAGACAAGGGAGAGCTGGGAAGGAGAGAGAGAGCTAGTGGGAAAAGACCTGGGAGAGGGATGGTGGGAGGACAGAGAGAGGGAGTAACAGATGGAGGGACTGGGGAGGTAGAGAGTGAGGGAGGGAGAGCAGGGAATATAGAGAGTGAGGGAGGGAGAGCAGGGAAGGTAGAGAGGGAGGGAGGGAGAGCAGGGAAGGTAGAGAGTGAGGGAGGGAGAGCAGGGAAGGTAGAGAGTGAGGGAGAGAGAGCAGGGAAGGTAGAGAGTGAGGGAGGGAGAGGAGGGAAGGTAGAGAGTGAGGGAGGGAGAGCAGGGAAGGTAGAGAGTGAGGGAGGGAGAGGAGGGAAGGTAGAGAGTGAGGGAGGGAGAGCAGGGAAGGTAGAGAGTGAGGGAGGGAGAGCAGGGAGGTAGAGAGGGAGGGAGGGAGAGCAGGGAAGGTAGAGAGTGAGGGAGGGAGAGCAGGGAAGGTAGAGAGTGAGGGAGAGAGAGCAGGGAAGGTAGAGAGTGAGGGAGGGAGAGGAGGGAAGGTAGAGAGGAGGAGGGAGGGTGAGAGGGAGGAGAGAGAGAGTGAGGGAGGGAGGGGAGCAGGGAGATAGTAGAGAGTGAGGGAGGGGGGAGAGCAGGGAAGGTAGAGAGGGAGGGGGCAGGGAGGAGAGGAGGAGGAGAGAGGAAGGTAGTGAGGGAGGGAGAGCAGGGAAGGTAGAGAGTGAGGGAGGGAGAGCAGGGAAGGTAGAGAGTGAGGAGAGAGGAGAGCAGGGAAGTAGAGAGGGAGGGAGAGGAGGGAGGGGGAAGAGGAGGGAAGGTAGAGAGTGAGGGAGGGTGAGCAGGGAAGGTAGAGAGTGTGGGAAGGAGGGCGGGAGAGCAGGGGGGAAAGAGAGAGGAGGAGAGAGGCAGGGGGAAAGGAGGAGAGAGGGAGGAGGGGAGGGGCAGGGGGAAGGAGAGAAGGGAGGGAGGCGAGGGAAGGACAGAGGGAAGGGAGGGAGAGAGAGGGAAGGAGAGAGGGAGGGAGGGAGGGATAGCAGGGGGAAGGAAAGGAGAGAGGGAGGGAGGGATAGCAGGGGGAAGGAGAGAGGAAGGGAGGGATAGCAGAGGGAAGGAGAGGAAGGTAGGGATAGCAGAGGGAAGTAGAGAGGAAGGGAGGGAGAGCAGGGGGAAAGGAGAGAGGAAGGGAGGGATAGCAGAGGGAAGGAGAGAGGAAGTGAGGGATAGCAGAGGGAAGGAGAGAGGAAGGGAGGGATAGCAGAGGGAAGGAGAGAGTAAGGGAGAGAGAGCAGGGGGGAAGGAGAGAGGGGGGGAGGGAGGGAGGGAGGGCCGAGGGAAGGAGAGAGGAAGGGAGGGAGAGCAGGGGGAAGGAGAGAGGAAGGGAGGGAGGGACGGGGGGAAGGTTAGAGCGACGGAGAACTGGATAGAGAAGTGGAGACACAGTTCCAGGAATGTTACTCCCTATGGGGGAGTTGTAGGGTTATGGAGGAGTATGTTTGTAAGGGTGGGGTGCGTGCTGAGTGCGTGCGTGCGTGCGTGCATGTGTGAGAAGGAGAAAGACTTGAGACGGCCAGTGGAATATAGCAGCACAGTAGCAAACAGGCACACACACACCAAGATAGGTAACAATAGATTATGTTCTGAACATAATATGGTTTATGATCATAAATGATTAACAAGGCTCTCAAGCAAAACCACAATATACTGTCAGTGTGTGTGTGGCTACTGTCAGATACACAACATGACCAAAAGTATGTGAACACCTGCTCGTTGAACATCTCATTCCAAAATCATGGGCATTTATATGGAGTTGGTCCCCCCTTTGCTGCTATGACAGCCTCCACTATTCTGGGAAGGCTTTCCACTAGATGTTGGAACATTGCTGCGGGAACTTGCTTCCATTCAGCCACAAGAGCATTAGTGATGTTGGGCGATTAGGCCAGGCTCGCAGTCGACGTTCCAATTCATCCCAAAGGTGTTCGATGGAGTTGAGGTCAGGGCTCTGTGCAGACCAGTCAAGATCTTCCACTCCGATCTAAACAAACAATTTCTGTACGGACCCCGCTTTGTGCACAGGGGCATTGTCATGCTGAAACAGGAAAGGGCCTTCCCCAAACTATTGCCACAAATTTGGAAGCACAGAATCATCTAGAATGTCATTGTATGCTGTAGTGTTAAGATTTCCCTTCACTGGAACTAAGGGGCCTAGCCCGAAACATGAAAAACAGCCGCAGAACATTATTCCTCCTCCACCAAACTTTATATTCGGGCAGGTAGCATTCTCCTGGCATCCGCCAAACTCAGATTCGACCGTTGGATTGACAGATGGCGGCTAGCTTTACACCACTCCAGCCGACGCTTGGCATTGCGCATGGTGATCTTAGGCTTGTCTGCGGCTGCTCAGCCATGGAAACGCATTTCATGAAGCTCCCGACGAACAGTTATTGTGCTGACGTTGCTTCCAGAGGCAGTTTGGAACTCGGTAACGAGTGTTGCAACCAAGGACAGATACATTTTTATGTGCTACGCGCCTCAGCGCTCGGCGGTCCCGTTCTGTGGGTGGCCTACCACTTCGTGGCTGAGCCGTTGTTGCTCTTAGATGTTTCCACTTCACATTAACAGCACTTACAGTTGACTGGGGCAGCTCTAGCAGGGCAGAAATTTCACGAACTGACTTGTTGGAAAGGTGGCATCCTATGACGGTGCCACGTTGAAAGTCACTGAGCTCTTCAGTAAGGCCATTCTACTGCCAGTGTTTGTCTATGGAGATTGCATGGTTGTGTGCTCGATTTTATACACCTGTCAGCAATGGGTGTGGCTGAAATAGTCGAATCCACTCATTTGAAGGGGTGTCCACATACTTTTGTATATATAGTATATATGCCACACCCACACACTACAGCTATCAATGAGAGAGAGAGAGAGAGAGAGAGAGAGAGAGAGAGAGAGAGAGAGAGGAGAGAGAGAGAGGAGAGAGGAGAGGGAGACGAGAGAGAGAGAGAGGAGAGAGAGAGAGAGAGAGAGAGAGAGAGAGAGAGAGAGAGAGAGAGAGAGAGAGAGAGAGAGAGAAAGAGAGAGAGAGAGAGAGAGATCGAGAGAGAGAGGTGCAGATTAGAAATGCAGATTGTGTTAGTGTGCATGCATGTCAAGGACAACAAGACCAATGTTTGTCACAACCTGAATCTTTCAGCTTTAATTGACAGCCATATATCTGTAGAGTATGTATATGTGGTTTCTGCATAGAGAACTCAAAGTAGATAATAAAGTATCAAGTATTCAATTGCGAGCGAGAGTCGCGCCTATTTCCTTCCTAGGATTTTTTTATCTACTCCTCTCCAGTTGCCTGCAAAGAGAAAGTTCTCTATGTGGATTCTAAATCCATGATCTCTCCTGTCTGGTTAACAGAAATTATAATAGATCCTCTTTCAATCTGTACAGAACAGATCCCACACAATACAGCCAGGCCCAGACAATATAATACACCCCAGCCCAGACGCATAACCTAACCATGGCTCAGCCTACCTCCCACCAAAACAATATCCCAGCCAGCTAAGTATGCCACTGCCACTCGATCCACCATCCCGGCTCTGTACAGCTCCAGTCTCCAAGGAGAACAGACAGGAAGCACAGGGCTGGGTGGCGACTGGCCAACCCAGAGGGCTCCATGTGGCCCCAGCATGTTCTCTGAGGAGCTACTGTAACTGGACAGCTGACAGCTAGGGGTCACAGCTAATGGGGGTCAGAGGTTCATGACCTAACTGTCAAATGGTGACAGTGGAGTGACAGTTATAGCAGAGAGGGCCAGCACAACACACCCTCAAAGAGGACCATGCATTCATTTGTATTCTATTTATATCAGCAGTCTGCCAATGGGAGAGCATGGTAGGCTGCTAGGCTTATCCCACACAATCCACACACACTATACAGTGCAAAGAGAAAGACTTGGAGACAGACAAATAGGTTGTTATGGTTACAGAGGATGGAAGTGACAGAGGGAGAGATAGTTGAGGGGAGATGCAAATAGTGCCTGGCTGGTGTGTGTTGTTGTGTAGATATGAGTCCAAGTGATCTGCACCACCAGGTTCTATGTAATAGACAAGAAGTAGATTGTCAGTAACATTTAGGTGTCAGTAACATTTAGGTTGTGTCCCCAATGGCACCCTATTCCCTATATAGGAGCCCTATGGGCCTTGGTCAAAAGTATTACACTATATAGGGAATAGGGTGCCATTTGGGACATTGACTTATACTCACTCTCTCCCTCTATCTTGTCAGGGTTGCGGCTCCACACTATCTGTCTAGTGTCCTGTCGTATCTGGAAGGTCCTCCTCTCCGGTCGTTGGGACTTCTTCTGGTAGAACACAGTCATGACCGTTCCAATCTCCAGGCTGTGGAGAATGCGGGTGCCCGCCTCGGACCAGTCCAGCATGCGGGATGCGGTGCCCGGGCCTGTACCGGGGCCATTAGTGGTGGTCTCATCCCGGTCCCCAACCCCCCCACAGCCATTGACACTATTGCTGCTACTAAACCTGGCAGCACACATCTTCACTGCATGTGTTGTTTCAATGTATTGTTTTGAAGTTACAGTTACATTCCTTTGCCTGGATACAAGGACATGTCACAGATGCTTAGTGATTTAAACTTGTTGTGGTTTCAAAGTTAGGTTGTATTCCTTCAACTCGGTCTAAAATCGATGGAGGGTAAGGGCCACAGTTACCCAGTTATCCTTAGTTACATGCATTGATGGCCAGGGGTATATAGGTCATTGCCTATCCAATGGCACAATGGAAGTCATTAATAACAGTAATAACTAAACAACAATGGAAGTCATTAATAACAGTGTAATAACTTAACAACAAACACTTCCAGTTGTAGGTTGTTATTATAAAGAATAAAACCCAGTTTTCCATCCAATAATTTCCACCTCTAAAATGAACAGAAGGCTATCCCATGAGCATGACGCTGGAATCAGAGACAACTGTATCCATCATTTCCAGAAGTTGGGATGCTCCTCCATCCAGGATGTGATTTATTCTCCAGTCTTCTTTCTGGTGGAGTGAATGGATCCCCGTGTTATCCTTTCCAGATGCTTCTGGCAGAAACCCAAAAAGATCAGACCCGGGGCCGGAGAGAGAAAAAAAGAGAGAGGCAAAGCTGTTCCCCTCATTGCCCGTTGGACTCGGGTTTCCACCCAGGGTTAACGTTGGGCTGGCCCGTGGTTAATTAATGCACTAGTACAACCAGTCCAGTCCGGTCCGGTCCACTCGGCGGGTAGGTCGGTTACAGACAGACAGCCATGCCCCTGGCTCCAGCACAGGCGCGCACACACACACAGACACAGTGCCACACACACCTCTACCTCCCCGCCTGAGAATCAGTCCGGGTTACGGGAGCGACACATGCATTCAGTTTCAGTTATGTAACCGATAAAATACAATTGGGCTGCTCAATGTTTTTGAGGAGGTCTGTGAAACAAATCACACCGCTAGGGACCGAGAGGCGCTCGGTTGGCGCAGTCGGGAGCGCGTGGATACCGGAGTCCGGAGCGGCCGTGCGAGACCAGTGCGTTCCGTCCAGGCAGACCATTCCGCTCTTCCTCACACCCACGGCAGACACATTTCCCGGCACAGGCCGCAGACAAGCACTGCTCCGCGGTTCATGGCCCTCCTAAAGAAACCCTCTCCTTCGGTACAAGATAAGAGTGAAGATTAGTCTTCTCGGTGACCGCCGGTGCATAACTCCAACCGTGGGTCTGTCAGTCTGCCTGTGTGCGTCCTTCTCTCCTCTCTGCGCGAGCGCGAGACGTCTTGAGAGGAAATTAAGGCTAGCAGACCGGAAAAGCTTTTAGTTAGATTTTTTCCCTTCTACTTGGGCTGTAGCCTATAGAAGAAAGATGGGGGGAGTGGAGAGCGAGACAGCAGGGCTGGGAACAGGAACCGGGAGGGGGGGAAGGCAGAGAGAGTGAGAGGTGATATTGTGGAGAAACGGCGACCTCTGCTGGCTTTGAGGAGAGGTGCAGCACTGTCTGCAGGAGTTCGGGGTCAATCCGAATAACAGTTCAAAGTGATGTGACTGGGCCAGAGGGTCAGAAGTCAGTGATTGGAGTCAGTTTAGGGTCAGAAGTGTGATATTCCTCTGTGACTGAATTGATACATGAAATGACCTAGTCCTAAACACTGCAACAAGCAGTATAGGCCTACACCTGATGTAGGTGCACATCAGTCTAAAGCAGGGGTGTCAAACTCATTCCATGGAGGGCCTAGTATATGCAGGGTTTTGGTTTTTCCTTTCAATTAAGACAACCAGGTGAGGGAAGTTCCTTACTAGATAGTACTTTAATACATCAATCAAGTACAAGGGAGGAGTGAAAACATGCAGACACTCAGTCCTCCGTGAAATGGATTTGGTCTAAAGAGTGCCTCATCCATGGTCTTACAGTATGACTGTCTGTGGAGTTTTAGGGAGTAATGGTTGCTTAATTTGACAACCAGGATTTTGAATGCTGTCTTTCATTGTTTGGAATACAGTACATGTGTTCGGAAAGCTCCATTGTACACTGAGTATACAAAACATTAGGAACACCTGCTCTTTCCATGACATAGACTAACCAGGTGAATGCTATGATCCCTTATTGATGTAACTTGTTAAATCCACTTCAATCAGTTTAGATGAAGGGGAGGAGACAGGTTAAAGAAGGATTTTTACGCCTTCCGTGACATGGATTGTGTATGTGTGCCATTCAGAGGGTGAATGGGCAAGACAACATATTTAAGTGCCTTTGAACAGGGTATGGTAGTAGGTGCCAGGCGCACTGGTTTGTGTCAAGAACTGCAACGCTGCTGGGTTTTTCATGCTCAACAGTTTCCCGTGTGAATCAAGAATGGTCCACCACCCAAAGGACATCCAACCAATTTGACACAACTGTGGGAAACATCGGAGTCACTATGGGCCAGCATCCCTGTGGAACGCTTTCGACACCTTGTAGAGTCCATGCTCTGACAAATTGAGGCTGTTGTGAGGGCAAGTTCAATATTAGGAAGGTGTGTTTGGTATACCCAGTGTTTATTGTAATCTAAGGCATATTCACGGTGTGTGTTTTGACAGATGAACAATGCTAGTGTGTGGAAGGAGGCAGTCTGAGATGACATCACAGCTGTGCTATAGTCTAATCACATCCACATGTCAGCTGGGTGTGTCTCCTCCACTCCTGCCAATGGCCAGCCAACAGCCAATCACAATGCATGGGGGGGCAGAGAATGGGGGAGCCGGAAGGAGTGTATTATATGGTGTGTGTGTATCAGTGTGGGTGTATCGTGTGTGTGTGTGTGTATCTCTGTGTGAGATAGAAGACAGAGAGGTATTCACGTGGGGGGGGGGAAGCATGTTACCCCTATATCAATTCTTCACACACATTTTATAGCCAAATTAAATTACAGAGCATAGCTTGTTTTCACAGAGAAGAGTCAACACACCACACAAAGCATGGCTGCTCCAAACATACTATAGAGTGCTTCCTGAATGGCTTCCTATTCTCTATATAGTTCACTACGTTTGACCATAGCCCTATGGGTGCTGGTCAAAAATAGTGCACTAAATAGGGAATAGGGTGCCATTTGGGACAGAGACATTACAGTGGATGAATCTGGCTGGAGTATGTTTGGGTAGGTTAATAATATGTATGACAACAGAAAACCTGCTCCAGATTGCTCAGGACCTCAGACTGGGGGCGAAGGTTAACCTTCCAACAGGACAATGATCCTAAGCACACAGCCAAGACAACGCAGGAGTGGCTTCGGGACAAGTCTCTGAATGTCCTTGAGTGGCTCAGCCAGAGCCCGGACTTGAACCCGATCGAACATCTCTGGAGAGACCTGAAAATAGCTGTGCAGCGACGCTCCCCATCCAACCTGACAGAGCTAGAGAGGATCTGCAGAGAAGAATGGAAGAAACTCCCCAAATACAGGTGTGCCAAGCTTGTAGCGTCATACCCAAGACTCAAGGCTGTAATCGTTGCCAAATGTGCTTCAACAAAGTAGTACTGAGTAAAGGGTCTGAATACTTACGTAAATGTGATATAGTGAGACTCTACAACAACATATACATTGTCAGATTTTCTTTAATAAAACATCCCATTGAAAACAACACATCTTAGCATTACAATGTTGTAATACAAACAGACATTCACATTTTGCACAGATATCACATACGTGTACCTATATTTAGTTGACTAATACTTCTACTTAAAACAACAAACCTAATCAGTTTATATTAGAGGACATGATATTGGCAGCCAAACACCATGGCAATGTTTGAACAACATTGTCCAGATTGCCTGAACTGTGTAGGCTAGTATGTGTATTTGAAAATAGTGAATTAGATAGTAGCCTGGTTGATGGTACAACATCAGTGTTGCTGGTCTTTGTCATTCTAGAAACACATTTAGTGTACAATTTTAACAGATCTGAAAAGGACGTAGTGTTCAAATTCTACCTCGATTCTCGGTACTGTATGTTTTTATAGCTATGTGTTAAAGGCCCAATGCAGCCGTTTTTTAACTCAATATCAAAACTTTTCTGGGTAACATGTTAAGAGAAAAAAGAAACTAAAATAGCTTCTTAGCAAAGTGCAATTTCTCAAGCAAGAATTTTGCTAGGACTGTCTGGGAGCGTTCTGAGTGGGGGGCCTAATTGGACAAGCCTAATGGGTGGGATATATAAACTGAAGACTAACTGTTATTGGCAGAGAGGTTTGAAACTCTCTTTGTTATTGGTCTATTAACTCATATTGCCTGGTGATGTCGCCAGGGAGGCCAAAACTCCATCCCACTAAAACAGGCTGACATTTCAGACAGCTCTTACACTAAAACAGCATTATCATCATTTTCACAATATTATTCCAATCCCAGTGTGGAAATATATATAAAACACTGGGGAAAAATCATGTTATTTGACTGCACTGGGCATTTAAGGCAGGTACAGCTTGGTCATGATATTGACTATGTGATAAAGCAGGTACAGAGTGGTCATGATATTGAAGGCTTAGTTCATACAAAAGGTCCATGCTAAAAAAAAAAGAACAGAAAATAATTCAGGAAACGTAATCCAAACAAAAGAACCACAACTAAATCAGCAAGACAAGGCTGAGACATACAAAGAGAGACACATCAAAACATACTAATATCCATTAAATATTTCTAAACTTCAAAAATAGCTTATCAATTAATATTGCTCATAGTAGAGAAATGTATGCAACCATTCTTGATGTTCATTTATCTCATTGTAGAACATGGTTAAGGCCAATTCCAACACTGATATATTAATACTGACATTGCTTGTTTGTGCAAATCAGTAGGTCTTCAGGGAGGCATTTCAAGCTCTTGTACCAAACTAAAACTAGAAAACTACACCACGACTCATAGCTGTTTGTCAGTCAATTGTATTCCAAAAGGCCATCATTATGCCAAAACGAAATGCTTTTGGTTGAGGTTTGACATAGTCCATGTGTCAGTCTATCAGTCTGTGTGTCAGTCTATCAGTCTGTGTGTCAGTCTATCAGTCCGTGTGTCGGTCTATCAGTCCGTGTGTCGGTCTATCAGTCCGTGTGTCAGTCTATCAGTCCGTGTGTCAGTCTATCAGTCCGTGTGTCAGTCTATAAGTCTGTGTGTCAGTCTATCAGTCCGTGTGTCAGTCTATCAGTCCGTGTGTCAGTATATGTCCGTGTGTCAGTCTATCAGTCCGTGTGTCAGTCTATAAGTCTGTGTGTCAGTCTATCAGTCCTTGTGTCAGTCTATCAGTCTGTGTGTCAGTCTATAAGTCTGTGTGTCAGTCTATCAGTCTGTGTGTCAGTCTATAAGTCTGTGTGTCAGTCTATCAGTCCGTGTGTCAGTCTATCAGTCTGTGTGTCAGTCTATAAGTCTGTGTGTCAGTCTATCAGTCTGTGTGTCAGTCTATAAGTCTGTGTGTCAGTCTATAAGTCTGTGTGTCAGTCTATAAGTCTGTGTGTCAGTCTATAAGTCTGTGTGTCAGTCTATAAGTCTGTGTGTCAGTCTATAAGTCTGTGTGTCAGTCTATAAGTCTGTGTGTCAGTCTATCAGTCTGTGTGTCAGTCTATAAGTCTGTGTGTCAGTCTATCAGTCCGTGTGTCAGTCTATCAGTCTGTGTGTCAGTCTATAAGTCTGTGTGTCAGTATATCAGTCTGTGTGTCAGTCTATCAGTCTGTGTGTCAGTCTATAAGTCTGTGTGTCAGTCTATAAGTCTGTGTGTCAGTCTATAAGTCTGTGTGTCAGTCTATAAGTCTGTGTGTCAGTCTATAAGTCTGTGTGTCAGTCTATCAGTCCGTGTGTCAGTCTATCAGTCTGTGTGTCAGTCTATAAGTCTGTGTGTCAGTCTATCATTCCTATTATCTGAGAGAAACACAATCTACCCTAGGTCCTAAACCCTAAACCACCAGAAAGATAATGTTCAGTAGGAGCAAACTGGACCACCCCCCCCCCCAAAAAAATGAGTGTTTATATTGGGTATGTTCAGGTAGCACCTCCTCCATTTCCAAACGTTTTCTCCCAATGAACACTAGACAAGATGGTTAATGGATGTTATGAATATCCTACTAGCAGCCTGGTCCCAGATCTGTTTAAGCTTCTGTTAACTCAATCAATCAAATGTATTTTTATAAAGCCCTTTTTACCTCAGAAGTTGTCACAAAGTGCTTTATAGAAACCTAGAGAGGAAGCAGGCTTAGAGGGTTGGCCAGTCCTCTTCTGGCTGTACCAGGTGGAGATTTAAGAGTACATGTGGCCATTATGGCCAGATCGTTTTTCAAGACGAAAAATGTAATTTCTGTCATTGTGAAACAAGGAGTTGGCATGATAGCCCAAACAGACTGCCACTCAGGCTGTACTAGTAGTAGGCTAGGGAGAGTTGTCATCATAGAACTGACGGTGTGACCTGATTGGTCTATTCAGACCAGACAATTAGGATGAAGCTTTAAAACAGTATTAGGATTCCTCCCTCCCTCTGTACGTGGCCTCGTCCCAAATGACACCCTATTCCCTATTAAGTGCGCTACTTTTGACATACATAGTGCATTACTTTTGACCAGAGCCCTGGTCAAAATAAGTGCACTAAATAGGGAATAGGGTGCCATTTGGGACGCAAGCATGTGTGTCTCAGTTGGCCAATAGAAAGTTGCTGTTGTTGCTGCTGCCTTTTCTGATCTCAGCGATTAAGTTATGGAGTTTCTCAGACACTGCCACCTGGTGGAGAAAACATGGAATAACAGCATTAGATTATGACGGTGCCTGTGTGTGTATGTGCATAGTAGGGATGGGCATTTGGAATAATGTCTGTGTTCGAGTACCCTCATTAAAATAATTTTTGAGTACTCGAGTACATGCATGTAAGCGTGAAACGGGGCTGAAGGCAAACACATTTGTGGTATGTTATCTTTTGTTCCAATTACTGGTTGTTCTGACACAATTAAAAAACAAAACAACATATTTTCACTGCACTTGACATACTCCCTAAAAAGTTGTCAGTGTTTATACATTCAACCTGCTAAATAGTTGTCAGTGCTTATAAATTCAACCTGCTATATAGTTGCATTTGTCAATTTTGAGTATTTTATTTGATTATTAGTAAATGAATACAAACCTTAAATCGAGTACTCGAGTACTCCACCCATCCCTAGTGCCTAGGTGTGCATACTTACAGTATATAAGTGTGTGCGTGCACAAGTGTGTGTGTAAAGGTGAGTACATTTACATAGCGGAAACGCAGGACGACTATGACAGTGCGTCAGATGCCTTTCTATCCAATACCCAAGACAATCTAGTCGCCCGGCGTTGTTTCACATTTCCCCAAAGTAAATGAACCTTAAAACTCACTATGTAGGAGTCTGGCTCCTGCAGTCTCTTGTGTCGGGGGTGCAGGGTCTGGATGGAGCTCTGGACCTTCTCCCTGGTCTCAGCTGTGCTGCACAGTGGGTGTGTGATCTGCAATAGAGGGAGATACCAATCAAATTTATTTTATAAAGCCCTTTGTACATTAGCGGTTGTCACAAAGTGCTTTACAATTACCCAGTCTAGACCCAAAAGAGAAAGCAAAGAAAGCTATGAAGAACTTAGGAAGAAACACAGTGTGTGTGAGTGTGTGTGTGTTGGACAGGGTCCAGCAGGCTCACCTGTCCTTTAGTGTAGACGTCCAGGCGTAGACAGCTGACCTGAGCAGGTGTGATTGACTGACAGGTCTTGTCACCAACCACAGGATGACACCTCACTGCCACGCACGCCTTAGGTGCAGACTCCTCACACAGACACAACAGATCAAGGAATGGATGGCCTGGAGAGAGAGAGAGGAGAGAGGGAGAGAGAGAAATAGAGTCAGGAGAGAATGAGTTAGTTAGTGAGTGAGTGAGTGAGTGAGTGAGTGAGTTAGTGAGTTAGTGAGTAAGTTAGTGAGTTAGTGAGTTAGTGAGTTAGTTAGTGAGTGTCGTGAAAACAGAGATTGAGCTAGTTGAGTTTTGGAGAAAATAAACAGTAAGTGGAGGGCACAGAGATCCTATAACTCAGGGATTCTATAACTCAGGGATTCTATAATTCAGGGATCCTATAACTCAGGGATTCTATAATTCAGGGATTCTATAACTCAGGGATTCTATAATTCAGGGATTCTTTAACTCAGGGATTCTATAATTCAGGGATCCTATAACTCAGGGATTCTATAACTCAGGGATTCTATAACTCAGGGATTCTTTAACTCAGGGATTCTATAATTCAGGGATCCTATAACTCAGGGATTCTATAACTCAGGGATTCTATAACTCAGGGATTCTATAATTCAGGGATTCTATAATTCAGGGATTCTTTAACTCAGGGATTCTATAATTCAGGGATTCTTTAACTCAGGGATTCTATAATTCAGGGATTCTATAACTCAGGGATATATGTTATTCATGGTAGAGGGTGATTCCTCACCCTCCGTATCCAGCATCCTATAGACAGCTTTCCTCCCAGGAACAGTACTCTTCTCTGGGTCCTCACTGAACTTCATCCTGGGGCTGCCCCGAACCTCCACCAACTGATGGCGAGAGAGAAGGAGAGGGTTGAAAATGAGAGAGAGAAAGGGTAGAAGAGGATAGATACATAAAAAAGGGAAAGTGAGGAGAGGGTGGGCAGAGACTGTCTCTGTGTCTGTGTCTCTCTCTCTGTTTGTGTGTGTGTGTCTGTTTGTGTGTGTCTCTGTTTGTGTGTGTGTCTCGGTTTGTGTGTGTCTCAGTTTGTGTGTGTCTGTGTGTGTGTGTGTCTCTGTTTGTGTTTGTCTCGGTTTGTGTGTGTTTCTCGGTTTGTGTGTGTTTCTCGGTTTGTGTGTGTCTCTGTTTGTGTGTGTCTCTGTTCGTGTGTGTCTCTGTTCGTGTGTGTCTGTGTGTATCCTCTTTACCTTGTACACACACCCGAGTGAAGGCTGTCTCGTGCAGGTGACCAGATGTGTCCCAACACCAACCACATCAATCTCATTCTCCTGAGACATGGACAGACAGATCAGAGAGGAGGGAGGAGGTAGAGAGGGATAGACAGATCAGAGAGGAGAGAAGAGGAGGGAGGAGGGAGGAGGGATAGACAGATCAGAGAGGAGAGGAGAGAAGAGGAGGGAGGAGGTAGAGAGGGATAGACAGATCAGAGAGGAGAGGAGAGAAGAGGAGGGAGGAGGGAGAGAGGGATAGACAGATCAGAGAGGAGAGGAGAGAAGAGGAGGGAGAGAGGGATAAACAGATCATAGAGGAGAGGAGGGAGGAGGGAGAGAGGGATAGACAGATCAGAGAGGAGAGGAGGGAGGAGGGAGAGAGGGATAGACAGATCAGAGAGGAGAGGAGAGGAGGGAGAGAGGGATAGACAGATCAGAGAGGAGAGGAGGGAGGAGGGAGAGAGGGATAGACAGATCAGAGAGGAGAGGAGAGGAGGGAGAGAGGGATAGACAGATCAGAGAGGAGAGGAGAGGAGGGAGAGAGGGATAGACAGATCAGAGAGGAGAGGAGAGGAGAGAAGAGGAGGGAGAGAGGGATAGACAGATCAGAGAGGAGAGGAGAGGAGGGAGGAGGGGAGAGAGGGATAGACAGATCAGAGAGGAGAGGAGAGGAGGGAGGAGGGAGAGAGGGATAGACAGATCATAGAGGAGAGGAGAGGAGGGTGGAGGGAGAGAGGGATAGACAGATCAGAGGAGAGGAGAGAAGGGAGGAGGGAGAGAGGGATAGACATATCAGAGAGGAGAGGAGAGAAGGGAGAGAGGGATAGACAGATCATAGAGGAGAGGAGAGGAGGGAGGAGGGAGAGAGGGATAGACAGATCAGAGAGGAGAGGAGAGAAGAGGAGGGAGGAGGGAGAGAGGGATAGACAGATCAGAGAGGAGAGGAGAGAAGAGGAGAGAGGAGGGAGAGAGGGATAGACAGATCAGAGAGGAGAGGAGAGAAGAGGAGAGAGGAGGGAGAGAGGGATAGACAGATCAGAGGAGAGGAGAGAAGGGAGGAGGGAGAGAGGGATAGATCAGAGAGGAGAGGAGAGAAGAGGAGGGAGAGAGGGATAGACAGATCAGAGAGGAGAGGAGAGAAGAGGAGAGAGGAGGGAGAGAGGGATAGACAGATCAGAGGAGAGGAGAGAAGAGGAGAGAAGGGAGGAGGGAGAGAGGGATAGATCAGAGAGGAGAGGAGAGAAGAGGAGGGAGAGAGGGATAGACAGATCAGAGAGGAGAGAAGAGGAGAGAGGAGGGAGAGAGGGATAGACAGATCAGAGGAGAGGAGAGAAGAGGAGAGAAGGGAGGAGGGAGAGAGGGATAGATCAGAGAGGAGAGGAGAGAAGAGGAGGGAGAGAGGGATAGACAGATCAGATGGAGAGAGGCTTGATGAGAGGAGGGAGAACTAGATAAGGTACTCTCATTCTTCTGCTCCTGCTGGCCTCTGTAATGTCTGTCTGGTTCCTCACCTTCTTGTTGAGTTCGGCCATGCTGTGCTCTGTGATGTTATTGGTGCCCACTATGAGAAGGGACTGGAAGGCAGGGATGGAGAATCTAGAGAGAGATATTTCAAACATGCTTTACTCAAAGCCTCTATACTAAGATTAAAGTCATTAGAGGGTACTAATCTAAGGCTTCGTCCCAAATGGCACCCTATTCCATTTTTAGTGCACTAAATAGGGAATATGGTGCCATTTGGGGACACAGACTCAGGACACACACACAGGACCTTACTTACTGCTCGCTGCAGAGTCTGAAGACATGGCGTACTTCTACTGACTGCCTGCAGAGGTCTCCACTGTCTAGACGCACGCCCAGCGGACTGTAGTCCAGCTCACACAGAGACAGGGCCACGGCACAGAAGTTCAGCAGGCCACTACTGTAAGGTCATAACAGAGAAGTTCAGCAGGCCACTACTGTAAGGTCATAACAGAGAAGTTCAGCAGGCCACTACTGTAAGGTCATAACAGAGAAGTTCAGCAGGCCACTACTGTAAGGTCATAACAGAGAAGTTCAGCAGGCCACTACTGTAAGGTCATAACAGAGAAGTTCAGCAGGCCACTACTGTAGGGACACAACAGAAACACAATAGAGATAGTATTAATGCCATTGCAGGCTATAGGTGGAAGGAAATGTAGTAGCCTGCCCTGAAGCAATGCTAGTAACAAAAACTGAAACACTGGGAAATAGGCTATCTCTAGTCAGAAGCTGTCCTTAGAGGCTGGAATGTCCCCATTCACAGAGTAGAGACGAGACAAGTTGAGACGAGCAGAGTAGCGAAGTGGGAAGGGTTACCAGGTGACACTGTAGCTGTCGATGACCGGCAGGAAGTTGTGTGGGTATGCGATGGCGTAGGACAGGAAGGCAGCCAGCTCTCCCTCATGGATCTTCCCAGGTTCCGCCTCCAGCAGCTCACACACACGCCCCAGCCAACCCTTGGTCAGCGAGATCAGATCGATGTTGTCATGGTCCCCGTTTGCTGCCACTAGCGTCTAATTGGACAGGAGAGACAGGCAGTTCAACCAATCAATCAATATAAGATATAAATCAATATCCTTTTTGTCCCAATTGGGAAATCTGTAGTCCAGTCAGGGTAAGAAACAACATTAAAACATTAACAACCATACAACATACTGTATATACACATACGATAAATAGCACAGAGAACGGTTATCAACATGTTATTAAAATGTTCGGAAATGTTTCTATTCTAAGGTAATTAATTAGGGCTAGTTCACTTCATACATTTGCGGTGTACATATGGGCTGCGTGTCTGGGTCTCAAATGGCACCCTATTCTCTATGGGCCCTGGTCAAAAGTAGTGCACTGTGTAGGCAATCTGGTGCCATTTGGCTCACAACCATGGTGAAAATACTGACATATTGAAGTTATGAGACACTTGACAAACGTATTTACTTTCTCTGAGGTTGTGTATTGTGAAAGCAAAGGGTCAATACAAAGTCTGTCTCCCAAATAGCACCCTATTCCGTTTTTAGTGACCAGGGCCCATAAGGTGCCATTTAGGACACACAGGGGCGGAGAGACTCACCTGAGGCCACACCTCCTCCAGGGAGGAAAAGGAAGTGACATAGGAGTGTGCCATGGTTCCCGCCACGGGGATTCCAAACAGGAAGCCAGCCTGTACGTTACTGGTCAGATCAAACCCTGACAGACAGAAATACAGAGGAGTAGGTTAGTGTGTGTGTGTGTGAGTGTGTGTGTCCTTGCGTGTATGCGTGTCTCTCCTCACCTCCGACGTATGTGTATCTTGAGGCTGTGAGGCCCCCGTCAGGTCCCTGTGCTCTCCTCAGGCCCATCTCTAACAGCTTCCTCCTGGAACCAGCAGCCAGACGGAACCGGGCCGCGTTACTGCACACCAGACTGGAGAGAGAGGGAAGATACAGAGAATTACCATATTGCACTATTGTAGTATACACTATTCCTACCTGTTGACCAGCTGTGTGTGTGTGTGTGTGTGTGAGTGAGTGTGTGTTTCAAGTTTTAATGTCACGTGCAGTAAAATGCCATTCTTGCAAGTTCCAAACGCAACAATGCAGTAATAAATATCAATGTAGCACTACAAATCTCATAAGGTACAACAAAAAGACACAAGAAATAAAAATAAGAAATAATAAAAACAGGAGAAAGTAAGAAGCTATATACAGGGTCACTTCTAATACTATATTTACAATATGCAGGGATACTGGAGTGATAGAGGTACAGTGCATTCGGAAAGTATTCAGACCCCTTGACTTTTTCCACATTTTGTTAAGTTACAGCCTTATTCTAAAATGGATTAAATACATTTTTTCCCTCATCAATCTACACACAATACCCCATAATGACAAAGCGAAAACAGGTTTTTGGAATTTTTAGAAAATATTAAACACATAAAAAACAGAAATACCTTATTTACATAAGTATGCAGACCCTTTGCTATGAGTCTCGAAATTGAGCTCAGGTGCATCCTGTTTCTATTGATCATCCTTGAGATGTTTCTACAACTTGATTGGAGTCCACCTGTGGTAAATTCTATTGATTGGACATGATTTGGAAAGGCACATATATAAGGTCCCACAGTTGACAGTGCATGTCAAAGCAAAAACCAAGCCATGAGGTCGAAGGAATTGTCCGTAGAGCTCCAAGACAGGATTGTGTTGAGGCACAGATCTAGGGAAGGGTACCAAAACATTTCTTCAGCATTGAAGATCCCCAAGAACACAGTGGCCTCCATCATTCTTAAATGGAAGAAGTTTGGAACCACCAAAACTGTTCCTAGAGCTGGCCACCCGGCCAAACTCAGCAATTGGAGGTGACCAAGAACCCATTGGTCACTCTGACAGGAGCCTCTGTGGAGATGGGAGAACCTTCCAGAAGGACAACCATCTCTGCAGCACTCCACCAATCAGGCCTTTATGGTAGAGTGGCCAGGCAGAAGCCACTCCTCAGTAAAAGGCACATGACAGCTCGCTTGGAGTTTACCAAAAAGCACTCAGCGGTCTTGTACTGTGAACTTGTGCGGCCTACCACTTCATTATTTCCCTTCATTACTTTCCAACCCCACCACCCCTTCCCTAATTGGAGTAAACTAGTGAACAACAATGCTTAGGCCTCTACTTACAGCTTATACATACGATATACATTTTATGGACACAGTCAAGTTTGTTTTTACTCCTGAACTTCCTCCGATCATTTTCATGATGTCCATCTGGTTTGCTTCTATATGCCATATTTTTCTAACTGTGCTCTTTCACAAAAGCTCTCAACCTATAACCTATATACACTGCTCAAAAAAATAAAGGGAACACTAAAATAACACATCCTAGATCTGAATGAATGAAATAATCTCATTAAATACTTTTTTCTTTACATAGTTGAATGTGCTGACAACAAAATCACACAAAAATTATCAATGGAAATCAAATTTATCAACCCATGGAGGTCTGGATTTGGAGTTACCCTCAAAATTAAAGTGGAAAACCACACTACAGGCTGATCCAACTTTGATGTAATGTCCTTAAAACAAGTCAAAATGAGGCTCAGTAGTGTGTGTGGCCTCCACGTGCCTGTATGACCTCCCTACAACGCCTGGGCATGCTCCTGATGAGGTGGCGGATGGTCTCCTGAGGGATCTCCTCCCAGACCTGGACTAAAGCATCCGCCAACTCCTGGACAGTCTGTGGTGCAACGTGGCGTTGGTGGATGGAGCGAGACATGATGTCCCAGATGTGCTCAATTGGATTCAGGTCTGGGGAACGGGCGGGCCAGTCCATAGCATCAATGCCTTCTTCTTGCAGGAACTGCTGACACACTCCAGCCACATGAGGTCTAGCATTAGGAGGAACCCAGGTCCAACCGCACCAGCATATGGTCTCACAAGGGGTCTGAGGATCTCATCTCGGTACCTAATGGCAGTCAGGCTACCTCTGGCGAGCACATGGAGGGCTGTGTGGCCCCCCAAATAAATGCCACCCCACATCATGACTGACCCACCGCCAAACCGGTCATGCTGGAGGATGTTGCAGGCAGCAGAACGTTCTCCACGGCATCTCCAGACTCTGTCACGTCTGTCACATGTGCTCAGTGTGAACCTGCTTTCATCTGTGAAGAGCACAGGGCGCCAGTGGCGAATTTGCCAATCTTGGTGTTCTCTGGCAAATGCCAAACGTCCTGCACAGTGTTGGGCTGTAAGCACAACCCCCACCTGTGGACGTCGGACCCTCATACCACCCTCATGGAGTCTATTTCTGACCGTTTGAGCAGACACATGCACATTTGTGGCCTGCTGGAAGTCATTTTGCAGGGCTCTGGCAGTGCTCCCCCTGCTCCTCCTTGCACAAAGGCGGAGGTAGCAGTCCTGCTGCTGGGTTGTTGCCCTCCTACGGCCTCCTCCACGTCTCCTGATGTACTGGCCTGTCTCCTGGTAGCGCCTCCATGCTCTGGACACTACACTGACAGACACAGCAAACCTTCTTGCCACAGCTCGCATTGATGTGCCATCCTTGATGAGCTGCACTACCTGAGCCACTTGTGTGGGTTGTAGACTCCCTCATGCTACCACTAGAGTGAAAGCACCGCCAGCATTCAAAAGTGACCAAAACATCAGCCAGGAAGCATAGGAACTGAGAAGGTGGTCCTCTGTAGCTCAGCTGGTAGAGCACGGCGCTTGTAACGCCAAGGTAGTGGGTTCGATCCCCGGGACCACCCATACACAAAAAAAATGTATGCACGCATGACTGTAAGTCGCTTTGGATAAAAGCGTCTGCTAAATGGCATATTATATTATTATTATTATTATAGAAGTGGTCTGTGGTCACCACCTGCAAAACCAGTCCTTTATTGGGGGGTGTCTTGCTAATTGCCTATAATTTCCACCTGTTGTCTATTCCATTTGCATGTGAAATGTATTGTCAATCAGTGTTGCTTCCTAAGTGGACAGTTTGATTTCACAGAAGTGTGATAGACTTGGAGTTACATTGTGTTGTTTAAGTGTTCCCTTTATTTTTTTGAGCAGTGTACACAGTATGCTTTACATTAGTTATCTTGTTGTTATTAGTTGTTGTTATTAGTCCCATCCTTCAGCTCCATTCAACACCTCCCATCTATCTCTTAACACCATCCATATCGGATTTCTATTTGCCATATATTTTTCAACTGTACTGTGATGTTGACACAGATTCAGCCCGAGGCTGCTCCTCCTCCTTGCTTGGGCAGGCTTCGGCGTTCGTCGTCACCGGAGTACTAGCTGCTGCCGATCTATGTTTCTGTGTTCTACTTGTCTTGTCTTTATTGTTCACACCTGGTGCCCATTAGGTATTGATTACTTCCCTATTTAACCCTCTGGCTCCCACTGTATGTTGTGCGTGTTTGTTCATGTTTGGTTGTCGTCTGGTGAGTGGGTTTGTTTCCTCCCTGCGTGGAGGTTATGTTATTTACGTTACCTATGAGTAAAGTACATTTTCAATTAGCTCTGTGTCCTGCGCCTGACTTCGTCCTACCGCATCACACTGACACCCTGACAGAAACACGCACCTTATTATGGAGTCAGCAGGTACATTCATTTAGTCCGGATCAATGGAGGAACGTGTCCAACAGCAGGCGACCATGATCCAGACTCTCTGCACCGCAATGGAGCGCATGTTGAACACTATGGAGCGATGGGAGAGAGGTGATGGTCCTACACCTCCTCCAACTACACAACCACCCACACCGCTGTCCACCCCTTCGTCACCTGGGTCCAGTGGGATTCGGCTCTCGCTCCCGAGGGCATACGATGGTACAGCTGCCAGGTGCCAGGGTTTTCTGCTCCAGGTAGAGCTCTACCTGGCAACCATCCACCCGGCTCCCTCGGGATACGAGAGCATGTCATCTCCTGTCTGTCTGGAAGAGCACTTGAGTGGGCCAACGCCGAGTGGGGAGGAATAGACGCAGCATCAGTACGCTATGAGGATTTCACCCGCCACTTTCGGGCGGTATTCGATCATCCACCGGAGGGGAGAGCGGTGGGGGAACGTCTATTCCACCTCAGACAGGGGAGGAGGAGCGCACAGGACTTTGCACTGGATTTCAGGACTCTGGCTGCCAGCGCAGGATGGAATGAGAGGGCCCTGATCGACCACTACCGATGCAGCCTCCGGGAGGACGTTCATCGGGAACTGGCCTGCAGGGACACCACCCTTAACCTGGACCAACTGGTGGACATGTCAATAAGGCTGGATAACCTGTTGGCAACCTGCAGACGTCCAGATCAGGGGCCGTCCATTCCATCCCCCAGCACCTTCGACCCTACTCCAATGGAGCTCGGAGGTGCTGCTCTTAGGGAGACCGAAAGGAGAACCATCTCCTGCACCAACTGTGGCCGCGGAGGACACACTGCTGGTCGGTGCTGGGGAGGGTCTTTCAGGAGTCGAGGCGGTAGGCAGAGCACTGGTGGACCGTCTCAGGTGAGTAGGCACCCGACTCACCCAGAGCTCCCTGTTGCGCATATGTGTATTGATATTGTATTTCCAGAGTTTTCCCCTCATTCCCAGCATAAGGCGCTCGTAGATTCAGGCGCAGCTGGGAACTTTATTGATCGTCAGTTTTCCCGTAGTTTAGGGATTCCTATTGTTCCTGTTGATGTGCCCTTCCCTGTACACACCTTAGATAGTCACCTTTTAGGGTCAGGCCTGATTAGGGAGGTCACAGCTCCACTCTGGAAGAAAACGCAGGAGGGTCATGAGGAGAAAATTAGTCTCTATCTGATTGATTCTCCTGCGTTTCCAGTGGTGTTGGGGCTTCCCTGGTTAACTTTTCATGACCCCACGATTTCATGGCAACAGAGGGCTCTCAAGGGATGGTCAAGTCAGTGCTCTGGGAGGTGTGTAGGTGTTTCCATAGGGGCAACTACGGTGGAAAGTCCAAACCAGGTCTCCACTATGCACATTCCCCCTGAATATGCCGATTTGTCTCTCGCCTTAAAAAGAAGGCGATTCAATTACCACCCCATCGACAGGGGGATTGTGCGATAAATCTCCAGGTAGGCGCTGCACTTCCCCGGAGTCACGTGTATCCCCTGTCACAGGAAGAGACGGCGGCTATAGAGACATATGTCTCCGAATCTCTGGGGCAGGGATACATTCGGCCATCCACTTCACCTGTCTCCTCGAGTTTCTTTTTTGTGAAGAAGAACGATGGAGGTTTATGCCCGTGCATTGACTACCGGGGTCTCAATCAGATCACTATCAAGTACAGTTGTCCACTACCACTCATTGCTAGTATGACGGAGTCATTGCACGGGGTGCGCTTCTTCACAAAATTGGATCTCAGGAGCGCGTACACCCTGGTGCGTATCCGGGAGGGAGAAGAGTGGAAGACAGCATTCAGTACCACCTCACGGCACTATGAGTACCTCGTCATGCCATACGGGTTGATGAATGCTCCATCAGTCTTCCAATCCTTTGTGGATGAGATTTTCAGGGACCTGCACGGACAGGGTGTAGTGGTGTATATTGCTGACACTCTCATATACTCCACTACACGGGCCGAGCATATGTCCCTGGTGCGTCAAGTGCTTGGTCGACTGTTGGAGCATGACCTGTATGTGAAGGCGGAGAAATGTCTGTTCTTCCAAGAGTCCATCTCCTTCCTAGGGCACCGCCTGTCTGCATCAGGGGTGGAGATGGAGATTGACCGCATTTCGGCCGTGCGTAATTGGCCGACTCCAACCACGGTGAAGGAGGTGCAGCGATTTTTGGGTTTTGCCAACTACTACCGGAGGTTTATCCGGGGCTTTGGTCAGGTAGCGGCTCCCATTACCACCTTGCTGAAGGGGGGACCGGTGTGACTGCAGTGGTCAGCTGAGGCGGACAGGGCTTTTGGTCATCTGAAGGACCTGTTTACCTCGGCTCCAGTGCTGGCTCATCCGGTTCCCTCCTTAGCATTCCAGGTTGAGGTGGACGCGTCCGAGGCTGGGATAGGAGCTGTACTGTCTCAGCGCTCGGGTACGCCACCAAAGCTCCGCCCCTGTGCTTTCTTTTCTAAGAAGCTCAGTCCGGCGGAGCGCAAATATGATGTGGGGGACCGGGAGCTGTTAGCTGTGGTTAAGGCTCTGAAAGTGTGGAGGCATTGGCTTGAGGGGGCTAAACACTCTTTCCTCATTTTGACTGACCATCGCAATCTGGAGTACATCCGGGCGGCGACGAGATTGAACCCTCGCCAGGCAAGGTGGGCCATGTTCTTCACTCGTTTTGTGTTTACTCTTACTTACAGACCAGGTTCCCAGAACGCTAAGGCAGACGCCCTGTCCCGACTGTATGACACAGAGGAGAGGTCCATTGAGCCCACTCCCATACTTTCGGCGTCGTTTCTGGTGGCACCGGTGGTGTGGGAGGTTGACGCGGACGTCGAGCGGGCGTTACGTACCGAGGCCACTCCCCCCCAGTGTCCAGAGGGTCGTATGTACGTGCCGCTCGAGGTTCGCGATCGATTGATCTATTGGGCTCACACGTCACCCTCCTCTGGTCATCCTGGCATCGGTCGGACAGCGCACTGTCTTAGTGGGAAGTACTGGTGGCCCACTTTAGCCAAGGACGTGAGGGTTTACGTTTCATCCTGCTCGGTGTGCGCCCAGTGTAAGGCACCTAGACACCTGCCCAGAGGGAAATTACAACCCCTACCCGTTCCACAACGGCCGTGGTCCCATCTATCGGTTGATTTTGTTACGGACCTTCCTCCCTCACAAGGGAACACCACGATCCTGGTCGTTGTGGATCGGTTTTCTAAGTCCTGCCGTCTCATTCCTATGCCAGGTCTCCCTATGGCCCTACAAACTGCTGAGGCCCTATTTACACACGTCTTCCGGCACCATGGGGTGCCTGAGGATATTGTATCGGATCGGGGTCCCCAGTTCACCTCAAGAGTCTGGAGGGCGTTCATGGAATGTCTGGGGGTCTCGATCAGCCTGACCTCAGGTTTTCACCCCGAGAGTAATGGGCAGGTGGAGAGAGTTAACCAGGATGTGGGTAGGTTTCTGCGGTCCTATTGCCAGGACCGGCCGGGGGAGTGGTCGGGTTTTATCCCCTGGGCAGAGATGGCCCAAAACTCACTCCGCCACTCATCCAGTAACCTTACTCCCTTTCAGTGTGTGTTAGGTTATCAGCCGGTCCTGGCACCTTGGCATCAGAGCCAGATCGAGGCTCCTGCGGTGGATGAGTGGTTTCGGCGCTCGGAAGAGACAAGGAACGCTACCCATGTACGCCTGCAGCGGGCCATCAGGCGACAAAAGGCGAGCACCGACCGCCACCGCAGTGAGGCACCGGTGTATGCACCGGGGGACCGGGTCTGGCTCTCGACCCGAAACCTGCCCCTTCGCCTGCCCTGCCGGAAGCTGGGTCGGCGGTTTGTGGGGCCATTTAAAGTCCTGAGGACAATGAACAAGGTTTGTTATAGGTTACAGCTTCCTCTGAATTACCGTATTAACCCCTCGTTCCATGTGTCTCTCCTCAGGCCGGTGGTAGCTGGTCCACTCCAGGAGTCTGAGGTACGGGAGGTTCCTCCGCCCCCACTGGACATCGAGGGGGCACCGGTGTACTCGGTCCGTTCCATCCTGGATTCGAGGCGTCGGGTGGGGGGCCTGCAGTATCTCGTGGAGTGGGAGGGGTACGGTCCGGAGGAACGGTGCTGGGTCCCTAGGAGGGACATCCTCGATCCCTCCATGTTGAGGGATTTCCACCATCGCCATCCGACTCGCCCTGCGCCGCGTCCTCCTGGCCGTCCCCGAGGCCGGTGTCGGCGCACGGCTGGAGCAGCGCGTCAAGGGGGGAGGGGGGGGGGGGGGGGGGGGTACTGTCACGGATTCAGCCGAGGCTGCTCCTCCTCCTTGCTCGGGCAGGCTTCGGCGTTCGTCGTCACCGGAGTACTAGCTGCTGCCGATCTATGTTTCTGTGTTCTACTTGTCTTGTCTTTATTGTTCACACCGGGTTCCCATTAGGTATTGATTACTTCCCTTTTTAACCCTCTGGCTCCCACTGTATGTTGTGCGTGTTTGTTCATGTTTGCTTGTCGTCTGGTGAGTGGGTTTGTTTCCTCCCTGCGTGGAGGTTATGTTATTTACGTTACCTACGAGTAAAGTACGTTTTCGATTAACTCTGTGTCCTGCACCTGACTTCGTCCTACCGCAACACACTGACACCCTGACAGATGTTTTACAAAAGTTCTGAACCTTTCTATTCTCATTGTTTCTACAGATTGTAAATTGAAAATAAACATTTTTGCTAAAAGTATTATTATATTATTGATCGATTGACTATGACTTTTCAGACTGAGAAGTTGTTGCTCCTAGATGTTTCCACTTCACAATAACAGCACTTACAGTTGACCGGGGCAGCTCTAGCAGGGCAGAAATTTGACAAACTGAGTTGTTGGAAAGGTGGCATCCTATGACGGTGCCAAGTTGAAAGTCACTGAGCTCTTTAGTAAGGCCATTCTACTGCAGGGGTGTAAAGTACTTAAGTAAAAATACTTCAAAGTACTTTACTATTTATATTTTTGACAACTTTTACTTTTGCTCCACTACATTCCTAAAGAAAATGTGTACCTTTTACTCCATATATTTTTCCTGACACCCAAAAGTACTCGTTACATTTTGAATGCTTAGCAGAAAAGGAAAATGGTCCAATTCACACACATCAAGAAAACATCCCTGGTCATCCCTACTGCCTCTTATCTGGCAGACTCACTAAACACAAATGCTTCGTTTGTAAATTATGTCTGAGTGTTGGAGTGTGCCCCTGGCTATCTGTAAATTATGTCTGAGTGTTGGAGTGTGCCCCTGACTATCCATAGAATAATAAAACAAGAAAATCGTGCCGTCTGGTTTGCTTAATATAAGGAATGTGAAATGATTTATAATTTTACTTTTGATACTTAAGTATATTTAAAACCAAATACTTTTAGACTTCTACGCAAGTAGTATTTTACTGGGTGACTTTCACTTGAGTCATTTTCTATTTAGGTATCTTTACTTTTACTCAAGTATGACATTTGGGTACTTTTTCCACCACTGTTCTACTGACAATGTTCATCTATGGAGATTGCATGGCTGTGTGCTCGATTTTATACACCTATCAGCAACGGGTATGGCTGAAATAACCAAATCCACTCATTTGAAGGGATGTCCACACACTTTTGTATATATAGTGTATGTATAGGGGTAAGATGACTAGGCATCAGTATATATGATAAACAGAGTAGCATCAACGTAAATTATGATTGTATGTGAGTGTGTGTGTAGAGCCAATATAAATGTATGTGCATGTTATGTGTGTTTGGGAGTGTCAGTGTGCATGAGTGTGTAGAATCCCGTGAGTTTGCATAGAGAAAAAGAAAATAATACAACAGTCAACTCAGATAGTACTTGTAGCCATTCTGTTAGCTATTTAGCTGCCTTACGGCTTGGGGATAGAAGCTGTTCAGGAGCATGTTGGTGTCAGACTTGATGCACCGGTACCGCTTGCCGTGCCGAAGCAGAGAGAACAGTCTGGCTTGGGTGGCTGGAGTCTTTAACAATTTTCCGGGCCTTCCTTTCACACCGCCTGATATAGAGGTCCTGGATGGCAGGGAGCTCGGCCCCAGTGATGTACTGGGCTGTCCACACCACCCTCTGTAGCGCCATGGAATCGAGGGCAGTGCTGTTGCCATACCAAGCAGTGACGCAGCCAGTCAATATGCTCTCAATAGTGCAGCTGTTGAACTTTTTGAGGATTTGAGGGCCCATGCCAAACGTTTTCAACTTCCTGAGGGGGAAGTGTGTCCTTACCTGGCATAGTTGACCAGACACAGCAGGCTGGTCTCCAGTAGCTGAACCACAGCCAGAGGACCAGACACCTCCATCAGAGGCACCTTCATACAGAGGAGCAGCACAGGTGAATCAATCAATCAATCAATCAATCATCAATCAATCAAATCAGTCATAATCCTGACCCCTGGGGGTGAGTCCCTGAATCTAACTCCTGACCTCTGGCCCTTTGGGGTGAACTATCCCTGAGTGTAACCATATAAATAGAAGGACTAGATTATATTTCTATGAATTTAACCCTTGGGGCATGGTTCGAGTTACAGGGGGCTGGTCCGATCAGGCACCCCCAAGAGGCATTGGACACCCCAAGACATTGGGCACCCCAAGAGTCAATGTATAATTCCAACCCTGCCTGGGGATGACCCTGAGTATAACCCCTGTTGTTGTCTCACCCTGGCAAAGACCACCGTTCCCTCGGGGACAGAGTGGACTGTGACACCGGAACAGTCCAGTTCCCGTAGAAACAGGAAGAAGGCGGGGTCAGTGGCTGGGGGCAGGACGGAACGCAGGTACTCCACGTCTATAACACAGTTATACTTTGTTACACATAATCAATAACATAATCATAATTTACATGTTAGTCATTTAGCAGACCCTATTATCTGGAGCAACGTATAATCAGTACCGTAATAACACACGTCTACACAACAACACACTACTCATGACGTATGAAATAAACAGATTTTTGTACACGTCAACACACAACTTTTCTAACATACTGGCATGTGGAATAATATTTGGCCTACTATTGGCTTTCCAAGAAAAGTAATCTGCCTAATGATCTCAATGACAACTGTTATTACGACATCTACAAACACCGTGGTTTGGCCCAGGGAACGTGAAACATGCTTACAGTTTAGTGTCTGAACAAGGTAGTCATTCACCCCCCCCCCCCCCCCCTCTCTCTCACACACCTCATATGAATCTAATACAGCTAATCTCATAAGACCACATGAGAGAAGGAGAGGGAGAGAGGGGGAAAGAGGGAGAGGGGGCGAGAGGGAGAGGGCAAGAGGGCAAGAGGGAGAGAGGGAAAGAGGGAGAGGGGGCGAGAGGAGAGGTGAAGAGAGGGAGCGGGGGCGAGGGGGAGAGGGGGCAAGAGGGAGAAAGTGAGAGGGGGAGAAAAGGAAAGCTTTTATGCAAGACTCTAGACTGAACTAGTGTGGTCCTCTGTAGCTCAGCTGGTAGAGCACGGCGCTTGTAACGCCAAGGTAGTGGGTTCGATCCCCGGGACCACCCATACACAAAAAAATAAAATAATGTATGCACGCATGACTGTAAGTCGCTTTGGATAAAAGCGTCTGCTAAATGGCATATTATTATTATTATTATAAACTCATCATGAGGGGCCGCAGTTGGTCCTAGGCTTTGGGATAGTTAAAAGGCCAGTGCCAGAGGACCTGAGGGACCTACTTGGTACATAACTAAAAAGCATGTTTGACATGTATTGTGGTGCATAATCGTGGATTAATTTAAAAACAAATAGAAGAATCTTACAATTAATTCTAAAACTCACAGGCAGCCAGTGCAGAGACTTTAAAACCGGTGTAATGTGTGCTTGGTGAGTACCTGTGCTGCAGCATTCTGTAAGTTTTGCAGTTGACCAATGGCTTTCTTGGGTAGACCAAACAGGAGAGCATTACAGTAGTCAAGCCTGCTTGTAATAAAAGCTAGTTTGCTGCAATTCTACACATTTTGCCATGGGGCGGAGAGAAGATTTTGCAATTTTACTATCTAATTTCATGCAGATTTGTAAGTTTTAGAGTTAATTTTGTGAAATTCAACTCATTTTGCCATTGGACAGAGAGGAAGATGAGCAGTTTTACACATTTTGCCATAAGATGGAAAGAAATGGTTGCAGTTTTTAATACAGTATGATCCTGTCTCTGAGTGAGACTGACTAACAAAATCAGTGGGGCCCCCGGGCTCTAATTCGACCTTGAATACTACAGGTTTAGATAGCTGGCCGCTAGAATCATTTATAAATCTAAAAACATATAGCTGACATGGGGTAATTGAGTGACTATTAGTGACTGGCATAACAAGAGAAAAACTGTTGATGCACAACCAAATTTCGAAATTGCACCTTTTGTTTTCTATCGCAACAGTAAGTTGAGACCCCAACTGAGGCCCCCCTCCCCCCCAGTTGCCCTTCCCTGCTCTAGACTTTGTGTTGTTGACTTTGTGTTGTTGTTATAGGCTCACTGGGCTAGAGCCTATAGGTCTAATCACAAACCTGCCTTGCTAGTATATATTTTTCCCATACCCTTGACATTAGTTATTACCAGTGGCAATTTAGCATGTAAATCTTGGTTAATTGCACTATAACGATGACAAACGGTGCCCATAAACTGTTAGGGCCTACATAAAGCTGTCCCAACAGCAGAGCTTTCTTTTTCGCACCATGGAGTGAATCCTTACCACCGCTACACCTGGATATCAGCGGAGCCTTGTCTGGCAGCGAAACAGTTAATTCAGCCTCATTTACTGCCTTTTTTTAAAACAGCTGTTGAGCTGACTTGCTTAAACAAATGTGGTTTCTACTGACAATTGAGATGTACAAACTATGGCATAAGGGAACGATGAGCGGATAAGAGGCAATCCATAATTTCGATTATTCATTTTCATTTCATTTTAGTCATTAGATTATGACATTAATGAGCGAGCTAAGATGGATGTAGTCAGTATAACTATTTGTTCAGCACTTTTGAAATGTGCAGCGACAGAATTCAGAACACGGGCCGTTCTTACAGTATTCTCCCTGTACACCAAGTCAGAACCGTAGTATAAATAAAGGGGGCATATAAGCAGACAATGAATTACTCTAAAACAGGCTATAGGCTACATGTGCACTACCAAGTCAGAACAGTAGGCTAAATTATGAGGGGGAAAGGGACCAAATTATTAGGGAGAGGCACATGGGCTACTAACTGCTTCCTACACAACATACACTTAGTATTACTTTCTTAGCTACAGTATGCATATCTCCCTGGCATATTACATCATTTATGCAGTGGCATACAATACTTTTTGGACTCACCATTGTGCTGTGCTCACATGAACAGGAAGGTGGCGTGGCGGTCCTTCTTGTGGGAAAATTAGTCTGGCATTCCCTGGATTTATGGTGCTTTCAAGACAACTGGGAACTCGGAAAAAAAACAAGGTTGAATCATGACGTCAGTGATCTTCAGGTCGGAGCTCTAGAAAGAGGCCAGAGTTCCCGACTTGAAATTCCGAGATGGATGATCGTTCAAAACGTATTTTACCAGTCGAAGCTAGTTTTTTTTTCCAAGTTCCCAGTTGTCTTGAACTCACTGAAGTCTGAGATTTCCCAGTTCAGAGTTTCTAGTCGTTTTGAACGCGGCAGAAGTCATGCTGGATTGACAGCATGGCCAATGTATTCAACCTTTTTCTGGCCCATGGTGTTGCGTGTGAATGTTTATCCTTTTACGCTTGGAGAAGAGACCCTTCAACCAAGACTTGGACCACACAGCAAAATAGTGATAGCTTTGCAACGCTTGCAGTTAGCCACTGATTCCTTCCAAACCACTCATTGTTGAATTTGAGATTTCCAACTTGTTGTGTAATGTTTATATCCAATGGCTGATGAGCACACAATACGTTTTATCTATAATTTATCTTCATATAACAAGGATTGAAAAGGATTTGCCAGTAGATTGTCCACGTGATTCATGATGATGACTGCTTGTCTAGCTTGCTAGAAAAGATTTTGAAAGTATGATGTTGACATGATCAGTCCAATCAAAGCTACGGTAGATATAAAGTGATTTGAAGTCATTTTATTTGTGGCCAATGACCTTGAGCCTTCTTGGATGGGCACTTCTAATGTAAATCTATGGCATCACCCAAGCGGGCTTGAACTTTCTAGCTCTCCCTGTAGATTTTGCGGTGACATAGTGTCCCAATGAGTGACAGAACACTGCGCCAACTACAGAAGATGACCAACTCCTATGCTCTGTATTTTCTACCTGGCTGCCCCTCCACCACAGAAAGCACTGAGCTAGGCTGAAACACCTACATTTTGGAGCTGCCTTACTCAAGAAAGCAAAAAATAGGCATGTTTGTATGAGGCTTTATTAACTCAATACATTATTATTTACATTGTTTGCAAATTGATATGTGACACCTATTAATGCCAAAATAACATGCAAAACAGGCTAAACACGTGGGGCTCAAAACAGGTTGCGCTCTGACGGGTCGCCACTGTGACTGGTTATTACCTGGTAGTAATCTGTGCGTGTCGGTAGGTAGGTAACTTTAAACTCTGGTAGAGCTCTGACCTCTTAACAGGATAGGCTATATCCCGGGCCAAATGGCACCCAATTCACCATATAGTGCACTACTTTTGACTGGTCTATGAACACTAAATAGGGAATAGGGTGCCATTTCGGGCACATGCCTGACAACCCAGGAGACTCACGAGGAAAAGATCACCGGTGTCAGTTGAAGTTCAGTGGAGTGGTTGCAAAGTTCACCGAGTACATAAAGTGTTATCCATTTCCACTCCCACCAGGGTCCTGGTATTGGCTTTATCCCTCATTGCGCAATCAAGGTGACACAAATATCGAATAAATATTATAGAAAGGAAACCATAGGCTATATAAAAATAAATATATGAATTATAATGTGGCTAATTTGCTTTGCCTTAAAGTTTTATTCACTGACATTTGCTCTCTAGAGAACTTAACGTCATTACCTCACCTTCGTCCGTGAATCGAAAGCTCCGCAGAAACAGGAGGCAGTCGTGCAGTCCAGAGAAGAGCGAGAAGCCGCCACCGAACGGGTTGTCGCGGAAGAACAACTCGAAAACGGCGGGCTCGTTGTGCCTGCCCGCCCGCCAGTAGGCATATGCCATGGTGAACTGGTAGAGGTCCGTGAGAAGCGTCGGGACCCGCTCCCGGATTGACCGCTCCAGAGCTGTACATGACTGGCTTGACCGCGCTGCCATGTTCCTAGATTCAAGTTCGGTTGCCGTCGCGATCTCTGGGACATACAGTTTTCTAACCACTCCCCTCTGCCTCTGTTGTATCACTGAGGGATAATAAGAACGGTTGGTATGCTAGGCGAGAAGCGAAACCCGGACTAAAATAGGCTATCTCCTACATAGAATAGGGAGGGGCGTTTTATAGTTCTCTTGAGTAGGCCTGCCTACGCATGATATACACTACCGGTGAAAAGTTTTAGAACACCTACTCATTCAAGGGTTTTTCTTTATTTTTTAAAACTATTTTCTACATTGTAGAATAATAGTGAAGACATCAAAACTATGAAATAACACATATGGAATCATGAAGTAACCCAAAAAGTGTTAAACAAATCAAAATATATTTTATATTTGAGATTCTTCAAATAGCCACCCTTTGCCTTGATGACAGCTTTGCACACTCTTGGCATTCTCTCAACCAGCTTCATGAGGTAGTCACCTGGAATGCATTTCAATTAACAGGTGTGCCTTTTTAAAAGTTAATTTGTGGAATTTATTTCCTCCTTAATGCATTTGAGCCAATCAGTTGTGTTGTGACAAGGTGGGGGGGTATACAGAAGATAGCCCTATTTGGTAAAAGACCAAGTCCATATTATGGCAAGAACAGCTCAAATAAGCAAAGAGAAACGACAGTCCATCATTACATTAAGACATGAAGGTCAGTCAATACGGAACATTTCAAGAACTTTGAAAGTTTCTTCAAGTGCAGTCGCAAAAACAATCAAGCTCTATGATGAAACTGGCTCTCATGAGGACTGCCACAGGAATGGAAGACCCAGAGTTACCTCTGCTGCAGAGGATAAGTTCATTAGAGTTACCAGCCTCAGAAATTGCAGGCCAAATAAATGCTTCGCAGAGTTCAAGTAACAGACATCTCAACATCAACTGTTCAGAGGAGACTGTGTGAATCAGGCCTTCATGGTAGACTTGCTGCAAAGAAACCACTACTAAAGGACACCAATAAGAAGAAGAGACTTGCTTGGGCCAAGAAAGACGTGCAATGGACGTTATACCGGTGGAAATTTGTCGTTTGGTCTGGAGTCCAGATTTGAGATTTTTGGTTCCAACCGCCATGTCTTTGTGAGACGCGTGTGGGTGAATGGATGATCTCCGCATGTGTAGTTCCCACCGTAAAGCATGGAGGAGGCGGTGTTATGGTGTGGGGGTGCTTTGCTGGTGACACTGTCTGTGGTCCTCTGTAGCTCAGCTGGTAGAGCACGGCGCTTGTAACACCAAGGTAGTGGGTTCGATCCCCGGGACCACCCATACACAACATATATTTTTTTTAAATGTATGCACGCATGACTGTAAGTCGCTTTGGATTAAAGCGTTTGCTAAATGGCATATTATTATTATTATTTATTTATTTATAATTCAAGGCACACTTAACCAGCACGGCTACCACAGCATTCTGCAGCGATACGCCATCCCATCTGGTTTGGGCTTAGTGGGACTATCATTTGTTTTTCAACAGGACAATGACCCAACCGACCTCCGGGCTGTGTAAGGGCTATTTTACCAAGAAGGAGAGTGATGGAGTGCTGCATCAGATGACCTGGCCTCCACAATCCCCCGACCTCAACCGAATTGAGATGGTTTGGGATGAGTCGAACGGCAGAGTGAAGGAAAAGCAGCCAACAAGTGCTCAGCATATGTGGGACTCCTTCAAGACTGTTGGAAAAGCATTCCAGGTGAAGCTGGTTGAGATAATGCCAAGAGTGTGCAAAGCTGTCATCAAGGCAAAGGGTGACTATTTGAAGAATCTCAAATATATAATTTATTTTGATTTGTGTAACACTTTTTTGGTTACTACATGATTCCATGTGTTATTTCATAGTTTTGATGTCTTCACTATTATTCTACAATGTAGAAAATAGAAAAATCCTTGAATGAGTAGGTGTTCTAAAACTTATGACCGGTAGTGTAGATAGGATTGCCAAAAACGCACACTGTTACCTATAGTACACTCTTAAGGGGTATAGTAAATAGTGACATTTGGGATGTAAGACATAGTGTTGCAATATTTTTTAAACATTTATCGTTGGAACATAAGGTGACATGAAATGGGCACATGATGTGTGAATTGCGTTGACAACCCAATAACTGCTAGTAAACCTCATAACCTGTCTTCTGGCTCTGTGCCAACAAGCTCGCATCACAAACGTTCTATTGGTCACCAATTCATCCCACACATTAAGCCAACAGACAATGATTTTTTGGGTGGTATTTATAGGCTAGTGATAAGGATAAACGATACAATGAAAGTTAGAAAATAAACCAACATTATGTATAATGAAACCATCTGCTGTAAAACCCATATGGTTTTATGCAACAGCTTTAGTATGAGTAGGCTATGATATCCCCCACTGACCCTAAACTGCATACTTGAGGAACCATGAGGAAGAAGGACATTGAGAAATCATGACTCTAACAGATGGGAAGAAAACTGAGGATCTAGTGGATGTAAGTGAAAGTTAGAATACTTTTTTTTCATCTAACTACTGTAATTGTACTGTGATTTATACAGTGGTAATATAGACCAGCCCAGCCCTCAGAGTGGCCTCCTTGCAAAGCATTACACCATAATAAAACATTTATAAAGGCATTCAGTGTGTGCAGATGCATTTTATTCATCATAAAAAGCTGTTTCATCCTTATCCAGTCAATCAAAATGCAGGGGTTCACTCTAGAGGTTTTTATTCTCAAAGCAGAGGCCCCATGGGTACCCTTATAGCAAAAGTAGTAGTTCATCAATTGTAACCTCCTGTTGGTCCACTATCTACAGAATCCACTGTCACATCAGCTATTAGTAGACAAACAGCTGAGGTTGCATCCCAAATGGCACAATACTCCCTACATAGTGCACTACTTTTGACCAGAGGGCCCCGGTTCAAGATCAGTGCACTATATAGGGAATAGGTTGCCATTTGAGACAACCTGAGTGTCATTGCAGAGGCCACAGAAATTCAACCAATGGCAGATTTCACAACACAACACTGCATAGTATTGCTCTTAGGAGGTCCTTGTAACCCAAAACGTTGTAGGAATGACCCAAAACTCCCCGGTTTCATTCTCGTGGACAGATACACGTAACATAAATGGTAGTAGCATCTGTCGACAGACTGTATCCTGATTTTCCTTCACTGATCATTTGGACAACTCACAATTTCGCAGGTGCTCACATCTATAGAATTTCTGAAGGGGAGGGGACATTTGGCCCATAGACTGACACTGGCTGAGAGTTTCCGTTTAGAACGGTGGAGACTTCGCTAGTTTCACTAGTATATTTTCTAACACGTCTCCCACAAGAACTCGATCGAGCATCTGACACAATTATGGAAGATGTTACTTCTGCCGAGATTACATTCAGTAGACAGTGCAAACAGGGGCAAACGGTTTCTAAATTAATGGGTACAACTTGAATTTGTCCAATAGGAGGAACTGCTCATTTGCATTGTCTGACTGTTAGAATTTGTATGCTCCTGACCTGTTTGGGCCAAATTATCATTACCGTTTTGATCAATGAGGTGCACTGTTATTAATATCACAGATAGTAATGTAACAAATATACATAACCACTCGTCGTCTACGTCCCCAATGGTACCCTATACCCTACAGAGTTCACTACTTTTGACCAGCGCCCTATCTACTCTGGTCAAAAGTAGTACACTATATAGGGAATAGGGTGCCATTTGGGACACTACCATCATGTCCACTCTATACATTGCCTTTCAATTGGCAACATTAGGGCATTCATATTCTGCCCTCTGAATACACCAGTGTTATTCCAATCAGCCCATCCCTCCCTCCTCCGGGGGGAAACATCCTGCCAGTTCATTGGTTAGTGTGTGCTGTTGTCCCGCCCACAGGAAGTGTGTGGGCTGTTCTGATTGGCGTTGTTCAGGTGGGTACAGGAAGAAAGGGCTGAGCTCGATGGCGAGGGTGGAGCGCACCAGGCCGACGCCCCCCAGGCGCTCGGAGCAGGGGTGGTAGACACGCCCAGTCCCAGGATGCATGTAGAGAGACTCTGGACGGAACTGGACGGCCAGCTTGTCACCACCCCAACAGAACGACAGCAGCTCTGGGGCTCCTCCTGTCCCCACCTCTGTCACCGTACCCCCAGCGGTCTCCGTCCCTGTACCGGTAGGACAGACAGTTTGTCCTAGCTTCTGCTTGCTCTTTGTGGTTTATGCAGGGTTACTGCAAAAGCACTTTGTGACATCTGATGATGTAAAATGGCTTTATAAATAAATGTGATTGATTGGTTGATTGACTGAGTGATTAATTGGTTGATTGACTGTACCCCCAGTGGCGGGCATCAGGTGGGTGAACACCAGCGGACGGTCGTCACAGCGCAGGAAGTTCCTCTCGCGGCCACACAGGGACAGGAAGGGGAAGTGGTCCTGGTACCGCCCACTCTCGTTCCTACGGAGACGGGTGAAGAAGAACACCAGGAAGTGCTTATCTGCAAACAGAGAGAGAGAGAGAGAGAAAGAAAGAAAGAGAGGGGGGAGAGTGATGGGGTAGAAGGGGGAGAGAGAGTGAGATGGGGGTGAGTGAAACAAAACGTGAGCGCAGAGATCAATCTGGTTTCACAATGGGAACCACAAGGGGAACTTGTGGAAAATAGAAACACATCCACTGCATAACACACAATAAGAGGTCATTCTTACTATAAATAAAGTTAGACTAACTACACTTAGCCTTGATAACACTGCTCCTGCTCTCAAAACACACTACATGACCAAATGTATGTGGAGACTTCTCATTCCAAAATCATGGGCATTAATATGGAGTTGGTCCCCCCTTTGCTGCTATAACAGCATCCACTCTTCTGGGAAGGCTTTCCACTAGATGTTGGAACATTGCTGCGGGGACTTGCTTCCATTCAGGCACAAGAGCATTAGTGAGGTCGGGCAATTATGCCTGGCTCACAGTCAGCTTTCCAATTCCAAAGGTGTTTGATGGAGTTGAGGTCAGGGCTCTGTGCAGGCCAGTCAAGTTCTTCCACACCAATCTCGACAAACCACTTCTGTATGGACCTTGCTTTGTGCACGGGGGCATTGTCATGCTGAAACAGGAAAGGGCCTTCCCCAAACTGTTGCCACAAAGTTGGAAGCACAGAATCGTCTAGAATGTCATTGTATGCTGTAGCGTTAAGATTTCCCTTCACTGGAACTAAGGGGCCTAGCCCAAACCATGAAAAACAGCCCCAGACCATTATTCCTCCTCCACCAAACTTTAAAGTTGCCACTATGCATTCGGGCAGATTGCGTTCTCCTGGTGTCCGCCAAATCCAGATTAATCCGTTGGACTGCCAGATGGTGAAGCGTGATTCATCACTCCAGAGAACGCGTTACCACTGCTCCAGAGTCCAATGGTGGCGAGCTTTACACCACTCCAGCCGACGCTTGGCATTGCGCATGGTGATCTCAGGCTTGTGTGCGGCTGCTCGGCCATAGAAACCCATTTCATGAAGCTCCCGACGAACAGTTATTGTGCTGACGTTGCTTCCAGAGGCAGTTTGGAACTCGGTAGTGAGTGTTGCAACCAAGGACAGGCGATTTTTACACGCATCAGCACTCGTCGGGCCCGTTCTGTGAGCTTGTGTGGCCTACCATTTCGCGGCTGAGCCGTTGTTGCTCCTAGACGTTTCCACTTCACAATAACAGCACTTATAGTTAACCGGGGCAGCTCTAGCAGGGCAGAAATTTGATGAACTGAGTTTTTGGAAAGGTGGCATCCTATGACGGTGCCACGTTGAAAGTCACTGAGCTCTTCAGTAAGGCCATTCTACTGCCAATGTTTGTCTATGGAGATTGCATGGCTGTGTGCTCGATTTTGTACACCTGTCAGCAACGGGTGTGGCTGAAATAGCTGAATCCACTAATTTGAAGGGGTGTCCACATACTTTTGTATATACAGTCGTATTAAAAAGTTTGGGCACCCCTGACAATTTCCATGATTTCCATTTATAAATAATTGGGTGTTTGGATTAGCAATTTCATTTTGATCTATCAAATAACTGATGGACACAGTAATATTTCAGTAGTGAAATTAGGTTTATTGGATTAACAGAAAATGTGCAATATGCATCAAAACGAAATTAGACAGGTGCATAGATTTGGGCACCCCAACAGAGAAATCACATCAATATTTAGTAGAGCCTCCTTTTGCTAAATTAACATCCTCTAGACGCTTCCTATAGCCTCTAATGAGTGTCTGGATTCTGGATGAAGGTATTTTGGACCATTCCTCCTTACAAAACATCTCCAGTTCAGTTAGGTTTGATGGTTGCCGAGCATGGACAGCCCGCTTCAAATCATCCCACAGACTCTCAATGATATTCAGGTCTGGGGACTGGGATGGCCATTCCAGAACATTGTACTTGTTCCTCTGCATAAATGCCCGGGTAGATTTTGAGCAGTGTTTTGGGTCGTTGTCTTGTTGAAATATCCAGCCCCGGCGTAACTTCAACTTTGTGACTGATTCTTCAACATTATTCCCAAGAATCTGCTGATATTGAGTGGAATCCACGCGACCCTCAACTTTAACAAGATTCCCAGTACCGGCACTGGCCACACAGCCCCACAGCATGATGGAACCACCACCAAATTTTACTGTGGGTAGCAAGTGTTTTTCTTGGAATGCTGTGTTCTTTTGCCGCCATGCATAACGCCCCTTGTTATGACCAAATAACTAAATCTTTGTTTCATCAGTCCACAGCACCTTATTCAAAAATGAAGCTGGCTTGTCCAAATGTGCGTTTGCATACCTCAAGCGACTCTGTTTGTGGCGTGTGTGCAGAAAAGGCTTCTTCCGCATCACTCTCCCGTACAGCTTCTTCTTGTGCAAAGTGCGCTGAATTGTTGAACGATGCACAGTGACACCATCTGCAGCAAAATGATGTTGTTGGTCTTCGGAGGTGGTCTGTGGGCTGTTTTTGACCGTTCTCACCATCCTTCGCCTTTGCCTCTCCGATATTTTACTTGGCCTGCCACTTCTGGCCTTAACAAGAACTGTGCCTTTGGTCTTCCATTTCCTCACTATGTTCCTCACAGTGGACACTGACAGCTTACACTCTGCGATAGCTTTTTGTAGCCTTCCCCTAAACCATAATGTTGAACAATCTTTGTTTTCAGGTCATTTGAGAGTTGTTTTGAGGCCCCCATGTTGCCACTCTTCAGAGGAGAGTCAAAGAGAACAACAACTTGCAATTGGCCACCTTAAATACCTTTTCTCATTATTGGATGCACTTGTCTATGAAGTTCAAGGCTTAATGAGCTCACCAAACCAATTGAGTGTTCAGTGCTAAGTAGTTACAGGTATTCAAATCAACAGAATGACAAGGGTGGCCAAATTTTTGCATAGCCTATTTTTCACATCTGATTTAATTTAATACAAATTAATATTACTACACTAAAAATCTTTGTCTGGACAATACCCCAATACTCAGCTTTTATTAGAAAATTAATGGCATGCCACTGTGATCATTTTCTGTGACGACAGAGTAAATTATTATGCAGCCTCAGAGGGGTGCCCAAACCTTTTCATACAACTTTATAGTGTGTTCCCCAATATGTGCAGCATGTATGCCTGAATGCTGTACAACAGAAGCAACAGTTTATCCACATTTAAAATTGCATCCCAAATGGCACCCTATTCCATACATAGTGCACTACTTTTGGGCCCAGGTCAAAATTAGTGCACTATATAGGGGATAGGGTGCACCATTAGGGTGCTCAATGTTCTGCTAACTAAGATTGCAGAACATTGAGTACAGGTTCTGGCCTTAACCCTGAGCGTACACTACATCACTTCCATATGCTCTCTAGGTGGGAGTTGAACGCCAAACAGAGGGGGTGTTATGTGATGTTATAAGGGAAGCAGGCAACCCCCCACACTTACAGTAATGGTCGGCACATGACATAAGACTATACCGAGGCTCAGCTTGTGTAGTAGATGGGATAATCATGTTTACTACAGAGTATGAACACTGAATAATGAAGGCCACCACAGCATATCTCATATATAGCCATGGGCAGAGATAATAAGATATCCAACAGGTTGTCTAGTTTCATGTCAATGTTACCTTTGTAAGAGGGTCATTTTTATGTCTGGAAAGAGGTAGACTGCGCTCTCTCTCTCTCTCTCTGTGTGTGTGTGTGTGTGTACTTTAAATACCTTTGAAGCACGTGACAAAGTTTTTCATTTTAGTGTCATCAAGGAAGAGCTGTGGTAAAAATAGAAGTTTAGTTAGCTGATCACTGCAACAAACTAATTTCACTGTTTAGTTGTAATTGTTTGTGTAAGACATTCACCTGTCCTTGGTGGTCAATGTAGTAGAAGTATTCCCGAATGCGCGGTTCGGGGCTCTGGCCTTGTATGTAGGTGACGTTAGTACGTGTACCACACTGGGTCACAAACCGCACTACACGGAGGTACCGCAACACCCTCTGCCCACTGCTGACAACCACAGCTCGGCACAACATACTGAAGCGACCCGGTAGAACGATTGGACTTGTGTTCAACTGCGTTATATGATCAGTGTCCTCCGTGCAGCGTCAAAAACATGGCACGTAAAACCGATGAACAGACTTCAAATGTCAGTGGAAATAATTAACTGACCTGTCTCTATCCAAATGATAACGTGACGTTGTTATGAAGCTTTGGTAGTTTACTACCGGAAGCGCAGCTTTCTATGGCGGTCGGACAAATCACTTTCATAAAGCTAGCTACTGCCACCAAGTGGATACACTAAGAAATACACCAGATACATTGTTACGAAGTATACTACTGCACCTTCAGGAACAAAGTATCTGTTCTTCTGTCATTCGCTGTCGAGCCTTTAAATATGACAATTTACAAATGCTAGTTTCTGGATTTATTGCGAGAAAATAGTAGCCTATTTAAATATAGGCTATTGAAAACGTCTTTATTACAGGACCCCCAAGTGCATAATTGACCTATTGGCCTAAGTGAACTCCCTGGCTCTGTTCCATGAAGATTGTCCTACATAGCATGGCTACATGAATAACAAAAAAGGCCAACTTCATACAACCAATAAATCTAATAATAAAAGTCATACTTTTAATATGACATTATACAGACATTCAGTGACAACAGTGGAGTAGTGTGCCCATAAAATATATTGACAATTGTCATTGAAATTCAACCGCACAGTAGGCCTATGCGTATAAACGACCTCATCTTCTTATATAAGACATTCCAAGCCAAGGGTTGAATTAATGGAGCGTCAAAGCAACAATGTGGACACTGGACCCCCAAACAGAAGCTTCTTTCGCGGAGATGGGACGAAAATCAAACAAAGCGGCCGATTCAGACGTACTGGTCATCGCTTGGTCAGAGACAGATGAGGTGTTCAAAACAACTGGGAACTCGAGAAAAAAAACGAGCTCCGACTTGGGAAAAATCGATTTGAAAGGTCATCCAACTCGGAATTACAACTCGGGAACTCCGGCAACTTTCTAGAGCTACGTCTTTCCGAAATGAAGATCACTGACGTCATAATTTGACTTTGTTTTTTCCCCCCCGGAGTTCCCAGTTGTTTTCAACGCGGCAAGAGTTCCCAAGGCTGTCATTGTCAACAACCATCATAAACACACTGCTGACGAGACACCATTCTACTTTACTGTGTCCTCCATAGACATTAAAACCAGGTTTCATCCTACAGTTTCTTCTCCCCCACCTGTCTTATTCGAGTGCGAGGTTTCCGCCTTTACTTATTCTGTGGTGGGTGGAGTCGGTCACCTGAACAACAAGGTAGGATATATTTTTTTGGTGAGCGAACTGAGATCTCCACAAAAATGTTTACATTTTCGGATTCATAGTTCACCAAACGGAATCACCTCAACTGCCAGTAAGTTTTTGTTTTTCGATTGATATAGCCTATACCTTACTTTTGGTTTGGTTACTTACAGTTGAAACTGTTCACAGTCCAGAGGGTAAATGGTTGTGGTCTCCGAGATTCAGACGTGGTTGAGACTTTTAGGAAATGTTTTTACTTTCATGCCTAATCAGAATCACAGGCTACAGTCGTTCTATTTCACTGCGTTTTCTTTTGGCACAGTCTGTGCTATGCCACTGTGCCTCAATGTTCAAAGGTCGGGGTTGTATGGCGCGTTTATGACATTTGGTGACACATTGGGCATTTTTCCGTGCAGGTATGAGCCAGCCGCCCCGACCGCACAGGGGGCAAAGGGAGAGAAACGGAGAAGGTCCCCGCGAGCATCGGGAACACAGGCCAAGACGGGAGCCGCGGCACGATGATAGACCACCATCAAGCAACAGGTGTGTTCACATGATGGCATGGTCACTAGGCATTTATGGTGACAGATTGCATGATGTAGCCTATGTCTGCCAAAAAATCCACCTCTAAGAGCTGGTTGTAGGAGAGAGAAGCACTTCAACCCTCTCTCTCTCCCCTCAGGTCCTCTTCTCAGCCCCCATATTACAGGGACTCCACACCCCCTCCTAAACATGGGCGGGACCAGGAAGCCCGAAGAGAGGATCATGAGGGGTCCAAATGCACCCATATCTGCTCCAGGAGAGGTATGTAATGTTAGTGTCTTACATTTTAGTCATTTAGCAGACACTCTTATCCAGAGCGACTTACAGTTAGTGAGTGCATACATTTACATATTGCCCCCCCCCCCCCGTGGGAAACGAACCCACAACCCTCGGGTTGCAAGCGCCATGCTCTACCAACTGAGCTACAGGGGACTAGAGAGTAGAGCTAGAAAAATAATTGGGTGGAGAAAGTGAGGCACAATGGACACAGACTCAGTAATACCTGTGAGGGGGAAGTAAATGTCTGTGTGGTCAGCTGAACACTGCCACATACCGTCAGTCCAGTGTCAGGATTTAGTTTCCCTCTCTTCACCTAAACTACACCTACACCCGCCCAGCGATACTACTACCCCTGAACATACCTCCCCCTCTCCTAATACTGGTCAGACTGGTTCTCACCTAGGCTAGTAAAGCTGTACACTTTACTTGCTTTGCTGTTTTAACACCCACACACACCACGTGTTGCTTTGATTTGAGCAGAGAAATGTGATCAGTTGATAAGGGGAGAGAGGTGATAAATATAAAGAAAGTCACACTAATTATGCTCCCAAACATTTAAGGGGTATAGTAACCAATAAAGGCGAGAACCTGATCTACCGATTTAATTGGCTGACGACATGCACACCCTCACACACAGTGGGAAAAAAAGCTGATTGTATTTGATCTGTTAAAGTCTCCCCAGTAAAGAATGTTATAATCTGTGTGAGTGTTCAGTCACCTTTCTCCTGTTCCTTTGCTAATCATTTCCAATCAGCGTGTGAGTGGAATATTGTAAATTGACTTACTGTAGCTCTCCTATGGCCTTGTAGTGAGTTTAAAATGTAGGTAGCAGTTAGTGTGACGTTCTATCCTTGGTGCTTGTTTGTGATTGTCTCTCTCTCGTAGTGTGTGTGTTAACATGTTCTCTCTTATTGTCATAGTTGTAAATATGTGTATATATATTTTTTGTTTCATTCACACCTGCACTGTTGGAGCTCAGAGCTTAAGTATTTAACTATACAGTGCAACTACATCTGTGACCCTGCGCATGTGACTAAATAAAAATCAAATCTATAGGTATCGTGTTGATCTGTTCAGTCCTGACCAATGCCCTGGTCCTGATCTGTGTGGTGGCAGCTCAGATGGTGATGTCAGGCATGTCTGCTATGGGGCCTGGCGGGGGCAGCTTCAATCTTAACACTAACATCCCCTTCGAGGGCCAAGAGCTGCAACAGGTACAAGACAGAAACAAGTGTCGCATCCCAAATAGCACCCTATTCCCTATATGGTCCACTACATTTTGAGGGCTCTGGTCAAAAGTAGTACACTATATAGGGCATAGGGTGCCATTTGGGATGCAGTCATGGACTCCAGATCCATTGCCATCACAAGGTACATTCTATCATAGCATCTCCACAAGACTACATTCCCTGTTATGTTATATTATGAAGACACCACCCTAACACCGTACCTGATTGCAGGTGAGAGACCTGGACATGCAGTACAGCCAGATGAGAGCTCCGGGAATATACGGGGGCGTGGCCTTTGCCCTCGTCTTCGGTGTTGTCTCCCTCCTGTTCGTGGTCTCCGGGAACAAGCCCGCACACCTGCTGGGCCAGAGGCTGCTGATGGGAGCGTTGGTGTTCCAGGGTTTGGGGGCGGTACTCTACGTGGTGGCGGTGGGGTTGTACCTCCACTTTGTCATCCAGGTGAACAGTACAGACGTGTGTAAGAGAAGGGAGAGGCTGTATGCACGTTCAGGTTTAACCTGGATGAACTGTGATGTGGGAGGGGCGGACGCGGCTGTGGCGTTGTTCGGGCTGATCACGGCGATACTCTACACCGCCGGTACGGTGCTCACGTTCTACACGGTGCGCTGGGTCAGGGGTTACCTGGAGGATCGCAGGCTACATGAGAGAGATAGACGCCCCCCTACCGCCAGCTCCCACCCACAGAGGTCACCACTACGGTCTGATACTGCTCTGTGAGGGAGACGCAGGTTGAGTCCCAAATTCTCTATAGAGTGCACTACTTTTGACCAGGGCCAATAGGGCTCTGGTCACAATAAGTATATTATGTAGGAAATAGGATGCCATTTGGGATGACGCCACAGATGAACCCCGGAAGGGACCAAAGGGCTTTTTCCACTCTATCCATTTTCATTAAAACTGTCTGTCCATTTTTGATAGTAATGGGACTTGCAACTACCCAATGGGGAAAGATGTCAGTTCAACGTCTAGTTTTGATTTACATTTGATTGAGTTGTCAACAGTGAAATCAACAAAATGTGAACCATGTCATTGGATTTAGGTTTAAAGTTGGGTGGAAAAAAGACAAATCCCCAACTTTTTGCAAATCCAATAAGTTTGACGTTGATTCCAATGTCATCACATTGAATGTTTTTGTCGAAATGACATGGGGGGAAAAAAACATTGATTCAACCAGTTTGTGCCCAGTGGGTAAGGCGCTTGCTCTGTAAACTTTTGTAAAGCATGGATTTGATATGAATTCCTTTTTAACTGCAACATGAATGACCCACTCTGGTCTAACAGACCGGTCTTGTCATTCATCAATACCATTTTTGTATGTGTGTATATAGAGGCTGCATGTAAATAAACCTTTACATTTATCTGCCACTCAAGCTTGATTATTTTGTATTTTCTAGTAACTCAAACCTTTAGCTTTACAATACATGCCATGATGCCACCATGTCAGACTGGCTAACATTTCAGAGGTGTGATACGTACTGTATCAGTTATCCTGCTAGGGGCAGAAGTGCTCCATATAGCTACTCCACCCCATCCCCAGTCCTGTCCCTGTTGTTACCGGGCAAGTCGAGACTGACTGATCAACAAATCACCCTGCATAATAAATAACTACTCATTATTTGTAGATCAGTCAATTTACCCATGATACATTACGGTTTTGATGCTCTCGAACATGGCCACCATCTCTCCTGCAGTATCCCCAGGCAGCATGCCAGCTATGACATTACAATGGGTCTGTCTCCTCTGCACTGTCACAATGGGTCACTCAGAACATTTGGTGCGTTCAAAACAACTGGGAACATGGAAAATACGAGGTCAATACGTCCGTGATCTTCAGGTCGGAAAGTCGGCGCTCTAGAAAGAGTTGAATGATCGTTCAAAGCTATTTTTCCCAATTGGAGCCACAACATTCTGCAATGTGAGGTAACGGTGCCTGGAACAATGACATCACAATGGCACCTGCAGCCTTGACCTCTGACCTCAATGGAATATGATGTTGAGTTAGTTACATCACCATGGTTGCATCAGACATTCCAAGCAGTGTGGGAGTAATAATAAAAACATTTTATACACCCATAGTCACTTTGCAGTTTTCTTTTCACACTCACCATCGCTGCTGCCCCTTCCTATGGTTCGTACGGCCCCGTGTAGCTCAGTTGGTAGAGCATGGTGCTTGCAACGCCAGGGTTGTGGGTTCATTTCCCAAGGGGGGCCAGTATGAAAATATGTATGCACTCACTAAGTCGCTCTGGATAAGAGCGTCTGCTAAATGACTAAAATGTTTTAAAAAATGTAGCCCCTTCCCACCTCTCCCAAAACAAGCCAACAACCTTATGATTATTTGAAAATGTAGATTTATTATAGAAAAAGTAGCTTTCCTGTGTGATTAGCTTAGATACAACAATGCCTTTGTCGAGAAGTTTGAGTTCATTAGATCACACATTCATTGAGCTGCGTAATACCAGTATTATCCCCCCCCCCTCTCTTTCCAGTGTTCTCCCCAGTCCTTACACTTCTACCTCTGTTACCCCCTCCATCCATCTCTCCCTCCCTCCCTAAGACAACATATGTCTGTATCAACAATCTTCTGAAAAAAAATAAAATAAAATTCTCTCAGAGAAGATTAGTACACGTCAATTACTAGGTCACACTTATGAGTATGCAACTCCTAGGAGTTAGTCTGTCTCTCAGCATCAGTCTACTTAGCATTCAGCCCTAGCACTTTAGAGGCCTACAGGCCCAAATAGCAACCTATTCCCTATATAGTGCACTACTTTTGACCAGGGCTCTGGTCAAAAGTAGTGTACTAGGGAACAGGGTGCCATTTGGGACGGAGCCACATTCAGGCTGCCTTCCTGGCTGGCAGAAATAAAATAGCTCTCTAGCAAGAATAGTTCAGTCAGTCTAGCAGAATGTACCATTCAGCTTTATAATAGTTCAAATAAAAGTTTCTGCATTAAAAAAAGTGATTTATTAACTCCATTCATCACAAAATGATAGAAATTAATTATATTAACTTGAACTTTGTGAAGCAAGTAAATAATGCCTGTGTTTATAAAAATGTATTTTATTTCCTGGGGTCATAAAGTTAAGAATATAAAATGAAGTAAATAAAACAACAGTCTTGCTGGCCATTAGCAGGTTTGAGGCTTCTTCAGGACAGTCTTCAGGAGGGTCGGTGTGTTTCGGGAGGGGCTGTGCATGTACACACACACACACACACACCAATAAGGTCCAGTGAAGTGTCCCGAGTAACTCCTCAATCTCTGATCCCATTCATTGGGATATTGAATAGCGTGCCATTTGGGAAACAACCATACGGTAACTCCTCTCCAGACATTCTATAATAGCCGTAGCAGGGATTCTTCACAGGCGCGGTCTAATGTGCTCTGAAGGGGTTGTAACAGAACAGTATGGTGAGCTAGAGGCTAGAAGGGCGTGACATAGTATTCTGCTGCAGGCCGTGGCTGGGGGTATGTCTGGTGGTCCTGGGGGTGTGTCTGACTCTGCTCCTGTTGTTGTTGTTTCATGATCTCCCGGACTTCCTCCTCCAGCTCAGGGGGAATGATGAGCTTGTCGTCAGGGTCTGGCTGGGCCGGAGCGTTGAAGTAACCCCCTTGCTTCCTGACGGGGGCGTCGCCCACCTCCTCTATCACATCCTGGCTCCGCCCCTGACACGCCACCGAGCCGTTACCCCGCCCCTTACGCCCCAGAGTCCCGCTGGCCGAGCTAGTGCCTGAGCCCGCCCCTAACTGCGCCTCTCCACCAATCACACACAGCCTTGCTCCAGTCTCTCCAGGCCCCTCCTCCTGTCCCTGAACTCCAGTGTGTTTGGGTGTTACAGTGTCTGTCTCTACAGCCCTCAGAGGCTCCTCTCCTCCTACAGGGTCAGGGTTAGGACTGGGCTGAGGGTCAGGAGACGGCTGAGGGGGGGACGAGGGTGGGGTGGGGGCTGACTGGCAGGCGGGTGGAGGTAAAGGCTCAGGCTGCTGTGAAACAGAGGTGTTAGGGTGTGTGTGAGGGTCAGGGTTGGGGTGTGTGTGTGGGTCAGGGTTGGGGTGTGTGTGAGGCATGGGTATAGAGCAGGCCCGTGCTCTCAGACAGTGTACATCAGCCTCCACCTCCACCCTGCTCCCATTAGAAAACACCCCAGCTATAGGCTCCTCATCCTCACTGTCCAGCCCGTTGTCAGACAGAGCCCCGGAGTACTGCCTCTGGAACGCTGCTCTTCCACCTCTGTACACCCCCGCTCCCCGCCCCAGCACCCCCCCGCGCCCCCCTGGGGCCACGCCCTTCTCTGTTTGATTGGCTGGCTCGTCCGACGATGCCGTCGACCCCACCTCACTGCTCATCTCCGACGTGCTGACCTCACTGCTGACCTCACTTCCTGTCCCCATCGCCGGAGGTGGTAATGGTAGAGTTCCATCCGCTGAGCAGTAGCCGGGGTGGTGGTGTGTGTTACCAGTGGTGTGTGTGTTGTGTGTGTTTCCAGGCCGGGCCCAGGGCTGGGTGGGGGTGGTGGGGGCTCACAGCAGCAGCACTCTTCAGTGATACTCAGCTGCACCACCACGGCACACAGACTGTCAGGACAGCCGTAGCCCTGCGCCAGCGTACACAGCTTCTTGGCTGCTGCTAGGGAGTCTGGGACGTTACGCACCGCCTCCACTGCCTCGCAGGTGGACATGGTATCCCACAAGCCCCGGCTGGCCAGGATGAAGAACTCATCCTGCGGGGTGAGGGTTACCGTGGAGACGTGGGGTCGTGGGGTCACGGCGGGACACAGGAAGGAGTAGCCCATGATCCTGGTGGAGTCAGTCACTCCGTTCACCTTGTTGTCCTGGGGGGTGGGGGGTGGGGGGGGGTGTTAGGACCTCTTGACAGACATACAGACATACAGACAGTACAGTGTGTGTGTGTGTGTACCTCAGTGATGATAGCGTGGTGCTGGCGTGCTCTTTGGTACTCTGGCTGCTGTTTGACGGTGTGTGTGATGGAGAGAGGGAGGGCCTTGCCATCACGACACAGGACCGCTTGACACCGTCCCACGTTAGCCGCAGTCACCGTGAAACAGCCCCCGCCGCCACCGCTACGGTCGCTGGGGGCAACCAGGTCGTGGCGGATGTGGCAGAGGGCCGCGGAGCCTCCCAGCCTCTGGCCTGCTGTGCCCAACTTCCTGTTATAACAACAACACAAGATGAACAGGAGTTAGTGTGTGTGTGCATGCGTTTAAGAAAGAAACTGTGTGTGTGTATGTGCATCTGGGAGAAAGACAGTGTGTGTGTGTACCTCTGCATGGTGAGGAAGGTGTTGGTCATACAGTCCTCTTGGTTCTTGCTCTTGTGCAGTTCCTCAGCCAGCACGTCTCCCATGGTGCATTGCAGCAGGTAGGGCACCTCAACGTTCCGGTCTCCGTCAAACACCCCGTACAGAGCCTCCCTGCTTCCACAGAAACTATCCAATGCCAGGGCTGCTACACACAGCCTGAGACAAACACAAATACGTTAGGAATAACACACACACACTCTGTACTGCTATTCCCAAAAGAGAGGCTATCCAGAGATAGATAGATAGACCAACAGAGGAGTGATGGATGAAGAGAGAGATAAAAAGTGTATTGTTTACTGTTAGTTTCTGATTGTTTATTTCCCTTGTTTATTTCCCTTTTGTTTATTGCCAAAGCAAGTGGAATAGACAATGTAAACATATGTTTCCCATGCCAATAAAGCCCTTTGAATTGATAAAGGGAAATGGAGTGATAGATGAAGAGAGAGAGGGCGAGAGAGGGCGTGATAGACGGAGAGAGAGAGAGAAAGGAAGATGGAGTGAGAGAGAGAGAGAGAGAGGGAGAGACAGAGAGGATAGGTACTGACTTGTTGTTGACCCCAGAGGCCTCTGTGTATCCATGGCTCCAGACTGCAGGCTCCCCGGGACCCTCACTGCCACAAAGAGAGGAGGGAGACAGGTCCACACGGAAACACCTAATGTTACTGCAGGAGGGAGAAGGAGGAGGAGAGATGATGAAAGAAGGAGAGGGAGAGAGGAGTAGAAGGAAGAAATACATCAGAGTGAGTTTAGAATGTTCTCAGGGACTTATAAAAAGTTACATTTGTTGATGTGTGCATTGTGTGGGTGTGCGTGTAATCTTGTGTGTGTTAGTGTCCACAACCTGGTCTCAGAGCATTTCGTATTATTCTGTACGTAAATCCGAGGGACTCCATTTATTATCTGTTAAGTTTGGTATGGTTAAATAAGACAGATGGTTGCGTAAGGCAAAAACGAAATGAGGGTGGTTGGTCGGGCGTATAACACAAACGTCTAGCAACCCAAAGGTTGCGAGTTCGAATCACATCACGGACAACTTTAGCATTTTCAACTACTTACTACTTTTTAGCTACTTAGCATGTTAGCTAATCCTTCCCCTAACCCTAACCCTAACCTTAACCCTTTTAGCTAATCCTTCCCTTAAACCTAACCTTAACCCTTTAACCTAACCCTATAACCCTATAGTGAGCTAGCTAACGTTAGCCACCTAGCTAGAATTCGTAAAAAATATCATACGTTTTGCAAATTCGTAGCATATAATATGAATTGTAATTCGTAACATATCATATGAAATGGGTGATGGACATCCACAAATTAATACATACTATACGCAACGTAACATATCTTACTAAATGGAGTGTCTCTGATTTACGTACAGAAATGCTCTGAGACCAGGTTGGTGTGCACGCATTATGGTGTGTGAGTTTGACTGTGTGTGTTCTTACTTGAGCAGCTCGAGGCTCCGGTGGTCCAGGTTGAGGCGGGGGTTGCCTGTCAGGTCCAGCTCCTGTAGTTTAGGAGGCAGAGTCTCTGGGAGGACTACTTCACACAACTCATTACAGCTTAGATCCACACACTGCAGGAAGGAGGAAGGGAGAGGGAGAGAGGGAGTAAGACAGAGAGGGAAAGAGAAAGAGGTCAAAGACACACTGGCCAAGATCAGATGTTAGGGTTATTAATAGTGTGTGTTTTCACAGCAATCTCAGATTAGGGGATATATTTATGAGATTACAGAGGTTGCGTCCCAAATGGCAGAACCCTATAGACCATGGGTATTCAACACTTACCCTTGTGCCAGTAACCGAAAGGTTGCTGGTTCTAATCCCCGAGCCGACTAGGTGAAAAATCTGTCAATGTGCCCTTGAGCAAGGCACTTAACCCCAATTGCTCCTGTAAATCGCTCTGGATAAGAGCGTCTGCTAAATGACTAAAATGTAAATGTAAGGTCCGGAACCTGCTGTTTTTCTGTTCCACCTGATAATTAATTGCACCCAACTGGTGTCCCAGGTCTAAATCAGTCCCTGACTAGAGGGGAACAATGGAAAAAGGAGTGTAACTGGCTTCAAGGTCCAGAGTTGAGTTTGAGCGATATAGACCCTGGTCAAAAGTAGTGCACTATATTGGGAATAGGGTGCCATCTGGGACGCATCCAGAGAATGGCCTGACATACCCTGGTTAATGTGACAGACCTGAACACTGCTAAACAGGACCATGGGAACCTCAACCATGAAGTCAGAGTATCAGGAGAGGGTGTGCATCCGTCTCTATGCGTGTGCGTGTGTGTGTGAGTTGTGTCTGTCCTACCTTCATGTCTTGAAGCTGGAGGACCTCAGGGAAGACAGTGATGTTGTTGGAGTGGGCAGAGAGTGTGTGCATGCGCCTGCAGCTCAGGATGGTGGTGGGCACCGCTCTCAGCCTGTTCCCACTGAGGTCCAGTTCCTCTAGCTGCTCCAACCGAGCCATCTTACTGCGGTGGGAGGGAGGGAGCCATTTCGATTTTTAGAAAACCTTTATTGGCACCATTTAACTACTGTACATACATAGCAAACTCAAATGCCATTAAGTAAAATGTCACTCCACAGCAGTGCCTACAAAGTTAAAACCAGCCCCCCTCCCACAGAGAGAAACAAAGAAAGAGAGAGAGAGGGAAAGGGTGAGAAATAGAAGGGTTTTCAAATGTGTGTGCATGACAAATAAGAAGACAGTAAAAGAGAGAGCGTGTGTGTGTGAATGTACAGTGGGGAAAAAAAGTATTTAGTCAGCCACCAATTGTGCAAGTTCTCCCACTTAAAAAGATGAGAGAGGCCTGTAATTTTCATCATAGGTACACGTCAACTATGACAGACAAAATGAGGAAAAAAAATCCAGAAAATCACATTGCAGGATTTTTAATGAATTTATTTGCAAATTATGGTGGAAAATAAGTATTTGGTCAATAACAAAAGTTTCTCAATACTTTGTTATATACCCTTTGTTGGCAATGACACAGGTCAAACGTTTTCTGTAAGTCTTCACAAGGTTTTCACACACTGTTGCTGGTATTTTGGCCCATTCCTCCATGCAGATCTCCTCTAGAGCAGTGATGTTTTGGGGCTATCGCTGGGCAACACGGACTTTCAACTCCCTCCAAAGATTTTCTATGGGGTTGAGATCTGGAGACTCCAGGACCTTGAAATGCTTCTTACGAAGCCACTCCTTCGTTGCCCGGGCGGTGTGTTTGGGATCATTGTCATGCTGAAAGACCCAGCCACGTTTCATCTTCAATGCCCTTGCTGATGGAAGGAGGTTTTCACTCAAAATCTCACGATACATGGCCCCATTCATTCTTTCCTTTACACGGATCAGTCGTCCTGGTCCCTTTGCAGAAAAACAGCCCCAAAGTATGATGTTTTCATTCCCATGCTTCACAGTAGGTATGGTGTTCTTTGGATGCAACTCAGCATTCTTTGTCCTCCAAACACGACGAGTTGAGTTTTTACCAAAAAGTTCTATTTTGGTTTCATCTGACCATATGACATTCTCCCAATCCTCTTCTGGATGCACTCTAGCAAACTTCAGACGGGCCTGGACATGTACTGGCTTAAGCAGGGGGACACGTCTAGCACTGCAGGATTTGAGTCCCTGGCGGCGTAGTGTGTTACTGATGGTAGGCTTTGTTACTTTGGTCCCATCTCTCTGCAGGTCATTCACTAGGTCCCCCCGTGTGGTTCTGGGATTTTTGCTCACCGTTCTTGTGATCATTTTGACCCCACGGGGTGAGATCTTGCGTGGAGCCCCAGATCGAGGGAGATTATCAGTGGTCTTGTATGTCTTCCATTTCCTAATAATTGCTCCCACAGTTGATTTCTTCAAACCAAGCTGCTTACCTATTGCAGATTCAGTCTTCCCAGCATGGTGCAGGTCTACAATTTTGTTTCTGGTGTCCTTTGACAGCTCTTTGGTCTTGGCCATAGTGGAGTTTGGAGTGTGACTGTTTGAGGTTGTGGACAGGTGTCTTTTATACTGATAACAAGTTCAAATAGGTGCCATTAATACAGGTAACGAGTGGAGGACAGAGGAGCCTCTTAAAGAAGAAGTTACAGGTCTGTGAGAGCCAGAAATCTTGCTTGTTTGTAGGTGACCAAATACTTATTTTCCACCATAATTTGCAAATAAATTCATTAAAAATCCTACAATGTGATTTTCTGGATTTTCTTTTCTCAATTTGTCTGTCATAGTTGACGTGTACCTATGATGAAAATTACAGGCCTCTCTCATCTTTTTAAGTGGGAGATCTTGCACAATTGGTGGCTGACTAAATACTTTTTTTCCCCACTGTATGTGTGCGCGTGCATCTGTCCCAGTGTGTGTGTGTGTGTGTGTGTGTGTGTGTGACCTGGCTGGGAATGTCTGTAGCTGGTTGTAGGCCAAGTGCAGCACCCTGAGGTGGGCGTGGCCAGTCAGCAGGGGGACACTCTTGTCCGTCAGGCTGTTATTGGTCAGATACAGCTCCTGCAGGCTGCTGAAGCTCTCCTCTGATAGGTTGGCTGGAGGGAGGCACTCCAGCTTATTGGCTGATGCGTTCAGGTAGCGCAAGCTGTGAGGAAAACCAACCAACAACGTTAGTAGCTAAAGAGGTAGACAGGGAAGGTGTGTGTGTGTGTCCCAGTACCTGTGTGTGTGTGTGTGTGTGTGTGTGTGTGTGTGTGTCCCCTACTGGCGAATGTGCAATCACTGGAGAATAAACTGGATGAGCTCCGTTCCAGACTATCCTACCAATGGGACATTAAAAAAAAAACTATAATGTTATGTTTCACCGAGTCATGGCTGAACGACGACATGCATAATATACAGTTGGCTGGGTTTTCCGTACATCGGCAAGACAGAACAGCTACCTTAGGTAAGACGAGGGGTGGAGGTCTGTGTCTATTTGTCAATGACAGCTGGTGCACGATCTCTAATATTAAGGAAGTCTTACTCGCCTGAGGTAGAGTACCTCATGATAAGCTGTAGACCACACTATTTACCAAGATAGTTTTTATCTATATTTTTCGTAGCTGTCTATTTACCACCACAAACCGATGCAGGCACTAAGACCGCACTTCATGAGCTGAATAAGGCCATAAGCAAACAAGAGAATGCTCACCCAGAGGACGTTAATGCAGGAAAACTTACATCCGTTTTACCTAATTTCTACCAGCATGTCACATGTGCAACCAGAGGGGGAAAAAACTATATAGACCACCTTTACTCCACACACAGAGATGCGTACAAAGCTCTCCCCCGCCCTCCATTTGGCAAATCCGACCATCATTCTATCCTCCTGATTCCTGCTTACAAGCAAAAACTCAAGCAGGAAGTACCAGTGACTCGCTCAATACAGAAGTGGTCAGATGACGCGGATGCTAAGCTACAGGACTGTTTTGCTAGCACAGACTGGAATATGTTCCGGCATTCACACGATGGCATTGTGGAGTATACCACATCAGTCACCGGCTTCATCAATAAGTGCATTGGCGACGTCGTCCCCAGTGACCGTACATTCATATCCCAACCAGAATCCATGGATTACAAGCAACATCCGCACTGAGCTAAAGGCTAGAGCTGCCACTTTCAAGGAGCAGGACACTAATCCAGACGCTTATAAGAAATTCTGCTATACCCTCCGACGAATCATCAAACAGGCAAAGCGTCAATACAGGACTAAGATTGAATCCTACTACAATGGCTCTGACGCTCGTCGGATGTGGTGACGCTCTCATGCCGCAAACTATTACGGATTACAAAGGGAAACCCAGCTGCGAGCTGCCCAGTGATTCGAGCCTACCAGATGAGCTGAATGCCTTCTATGCTCGCTTTGAGGCAGACAACACTAAACCATGCATGAGATCACCAGCTGTTCCGGATGACTGTGTGATCACACTTTCTGTAGCCGATGTGAGTAAGACCTTTAAACAGGTCAACATTCACAAGGCTGCAGCTGCAGGGCCAGACGGATTACCAGGACGCGTACTCAGAGCATGCGCTGACCAACTGGCAAGTGTCTTCACTGATATTTTCAACCTCTCCTTGACTGAGTCTGTAATACCTACGTTTCAAGCAGAACACCATAGTCCCTGTGCCCAAGAACACCAAGGTAACCTGCATAAATGACTATCGTCCCGTAGCACTCACGTCTGTAGCTATGAAGTGCTTTGAAAGGCTGGTCATTGCTCACGCCACCATCATCCCAGAAACCCTAGACCCACTACAATTTGCATACTTCCCCAACAGAGGATGCAATCTCTATTGCACGCCACACTGCCCTTTCCCACTGCATTCAACACCATAGTGCCCTCAGAGCTCATCACTAAGCTAAGGACCCTGGGATTAAACACCTCCCTCTGCAACTGGATCCTGGACTTCCTGACGGGTCGCCCCCAGGTGGTAAGGGTAGGCAACAACACATCTGCCACGCTGATCCTCAACACGGGGGCCCCTCAGGGGTGCGTGCTTAGTCCCCTCCTGTAGTCCCTGTTCACCCACGACTGCGTGGCCACGCACAAATCCAAAATCATCATTATGTTTGCAGACAACAAAATGGTGGTAGGCCTGATCACCGACAATGATGAGACAGTCTATAGGGAGGTCAGATACCTGGCTGTGTGGTGGAGGGGTCAACAACCTCTCCCTCAACATGAGCAAGACAAAGGAGCTGATCGTGGACTACAGGAAAAAGGAGGGCCGAGCACGCTCCCATTCACATTGACAGGGCTGTAGTGGAGCGGGTCAAGAGCTTCATGATCATTGGTGTCCACATCACTAACAAACGATCATGGTCCAAACACAACAAGACAGTCGTGAAGAGGGCATGACAACGCCTATTCCCCCCCAGGAGACTGAAAAGATTTGGCATGGGTCCTCAGATCCTCAAAAAGTTATATAGCTACACCACTGAGAGCATCCTGATTGGATGCATCACTGCTTGTTATGGCAACTGCTCGGCATCTGACCGCAAGGCGCTACAGAGGGTAGTGCGTACGGCCCAGTACATCACTGGGGCCAAGCTTCCTGCCATCCAGGACACCTATACCAGGCGGTGTCAGAGGAAGGCCCTAAAAATTGTCAAAGACTCCAGCCACCCAAGTCATAGACTGTTCTCTCTGCTACCGCACGGCAAGCGGTACCGGAGCACCAAGTCTAGGTTCAAAAGGCTCCTTAACAGCCTCTACCCCCAAGCCATAAACAGTTGGCTACCCAGACTATTTACATTGACCCCCTTTTTTACCCCTCGCTGTTTATTATCTATGCAGTCACTTTATCCCTACATACATGTACACTACCGTTCAAAAGTTTGGGATCACTTAGAAATGTCCCTGTTTTCGAAAGAAAAGCAATTTTTTTGTCTATTAAAATAACATCAAATTGATCAGAAATACAGTGTAGACATTGTTAATGTTGTAAATGGCTATTGTAGCCTATCTACATAGGCGTACAGAGGCCCATTATCAGCAACCATCAGTCCTGTGTTCCAATGGAACGTTGTGTTTCCTAATCCAAGTTTATCATTTTAAAAGGTTAATTGATCATTAGAAAACCCTTTTGCAATTATGTTAGCACAGCTGAAAACTGTTGTGCTGATTAAAGAAGCAATAAAACTGGCCTTCTTGAGACTAGTTGAGTATCTGGAGCATCAGCAATTTGGGTTCGATTACAGGCTCAAAATGGCCAGAAACAAATAACTTTCTTCTGAAACTCGTCAGTCTATTCTTGTTCTGAGAAATGAAGGTTATTCCATGCGAGAAATTGCCAAGAAAATGAAGATCAAACACCAGTCTCAACGTCAACAGTGAAGAGGCTACTCCGGGATGCTGACCTTCTAGGCAGAGTTGCAAAGAAAAAGCCATATCTCAGACTGGCCAATAAAAATAAAAGATTAAGATGGGCAGTCTGAGATATGGCTTTTTCTTTGCAACTCTGCCTAGAAGGTCAGCATCCCGGAGTCACCGCTTCACTGTTGACGTTGAGACTGGTGTTTTGCGGGTACTATTTCATGAAGCTGCCAGTTGAGGACCTGTGAGGCGCCTGTTTCTCAAACTAGACACTAATGTATTTGTCCTCTTGCTCAGTTGTGCACTGGGGCCTCCCACTCCTCTTTCTATTCTGGTTAGAGCCAGTTTGCGCTGTTCTGTGAAGGGAGTAGTACACAGCGTTGTAAGAGATCTTCAGTTTCTTGGCAATTTCTCACATGGATTAGCCTTCATTTCTCAGAACAAGAATAGACTGACGAGTTTCAGAAGAAGGTTCTTTGTTTCTGCCCATTTTGAGCCTGTAATCGAACCCACAATTGCTGATGCTCCAGATACTAATCTTTAATCAGCACAACAGTTTTCAGCTGTGCTAACATAATTGCAAAAGGGTTTTCTAATGATCAATTAGCCTTTTAAAATGACAAACTTGGATTAGCAAACACAACGTGCCATTGGAACACAGGAATGATGGTTGCTGATAATGGGCCTCTGCATGCCTATGTAGATATGCCATTAAAAATCAGCCGTTTCCAGCTACAATAGCCATTTACAACATTAACAATATCTACCCTGTATTTCGGATCAATTTGATGTTATTTTAATGGACAAAGAAATTGCTTTCCTTTCGAAAACAAGGACATTTCTAAGTGACCCCAAACTTTTGAACGGTAGTGTACATATTACCTCAATTACCTCGACTAACCTCTACCCCCGCATATTGACTCGGTACCGGTACCCCTTGTATATAGCCTTGTTATTGTTATTTTTTTATAGTATTTTTTCAAATATTTTCTTACTTTAAAAAAACTCAGCATTGTTGGTTAAGGGCTTGTAAGTAAGCATTTCACGGTAACGTCTACACCTGTTGTTTTCGGCACGTGACAAATAAAATGTGATTTGATTTGTGTGTGTCCCAGTATCTGTGTGTGTCCCAGTATGTGTGTGTTTGTCCAAGTACCTGTGTGTGTATGTATGTGTGTCCCAGTATCTGTGTGTGCGCGTCCCAGTATCTGTGTGTGTGTGTGTTTCTCCCAGAGTGTGTGTATCCCAATGTGTGTGTGTGTGTGTGTGTAGCCTACCTCTGGGCCTTAATGAAGAGGTTGTGTGGTAGCTCAGTTAGCAGGTTGTGTTGTACGTCTAGAACCTCTAGCTGAGATTTCTCCAGCCTCTCAGGTAGTCTACGCAGAACGTTACACCCCACCAGCAGTTTACGAAGACTAGCACTGCAGAATAAACTACAGGACACACAGACACACAATACAGCACAGTCAGAAAGAGAGAGAGAGGGTGTGTGTACAGTAGAACTCTGTGTGAGAATGTAGAGTATATCTGTATATTACTCACTGTATGGGTAGCTCTTTGATGTTGTTGTGGCTGATGTCCAGGACCTCTAGTCGGGTGCTCTCACACACCCAGTCAGGCACACAGTCCAGATGGTTCCTACAACACAACATAGTCAGGCACACAGTCCAGATGGTTCCTACAACACAACATAGTCAGGCACACAGTCCAGATGGTTCCTACAACACAACATAGTCAGGCACACAGTCCACATGGTTCCTACAACACAACATAGTCAGGCACACAGTCCACATGGTTCCTACAACACAACATAGTCAGGCACACAGTCCAGATGGTTCCTACAACACAACATAGTCAGGCACACAGTCCACATGGTTCATACAACACAACATAGCCAGACAGGCACACAGTCCAGATGGTTCCTATAACACAACATAGTCAGGCACACAGTCCACATGGTTCCTACAACACAACATAGCCAGACAGGCACACAGTCCACATGGTTCCTATAACACAACATAGCCAGACAGGCACACAGTCCACATGGTTCCTACAACACAACATAGCCAGACAGGCACACAGTCCAGATGGTTCCTATAACACAACATAGTCAGGCATACAGTCCAGATGGTTCCTACAACACAACATAGCCAGACAGGCACACAGTCCAGATGGTTCCTATAACACAACATAGCCAGACAGGCACACAGTCCACATGGTTCCTACAACACAACATAGCCACACAGGCACACAGTCCAGATGGTTCCTATAACACAACATAGCCAGACAGGCACACAGTCCAGATGGTTCCTATAACACAACATAGCCAGACAGGCACACAGTCCACATGGTTCCTACAACACAACATAGCCAGACAGGCACACAGTCCAGATGGTTCCTACAACACAACATAGCCAGACAGGCACACAGTCCAGATGGTTCCTCCAACACAACATAGCCAGACAGGCACACAGTCCATATGGTTCCTACAACACAACATAGCCAGACAGGCACACAGTCCAGATGGTTCCTACAACACAACATAGCCAGACAGGCACACAGTCCAGACGGGTCCTACAACACAACATAGCCAGACAGGCACACAGTCCAGACGGGTCCTACAACACAATAGTAAAAAAACAAAAACATTCTATAGTTACATAATGCAATATTTGTTTGGGACGATATTGTATCCATATTTGGCTCCAAGTTTCGACGTGTAAAAAAAAAAAAAATTGCTACAGTGGATAGCGTTAGCTTGTTCTCCATCTTTTCAAATAGTGAGCAACATGTTTTTAGCACTTTTATTTCCCTGACTGATCAAAACGTGTTTTCTCATGCTGTCTTATCTCTCAGCAGCAGACATACACTGAGTGTAAAAATATTAAGAACACGCTCCTAATAATGAGTTGCACCCCCTTTTGCCCTTAGAACAGACTCAATTCATCGGGGCATGGACTCTACAAGGTGTTGAAAGTGTGCCACAGGGATGCTAGCCCATGTTGACTCCCAATGCTTCCCAAAGTTGTGTCAAGTTGGCTGGATGTCATTTGGGTGGTGGACCATTCTTGATACACACGTGAAGTTGTTGAGTGTGAAATGCCCAGCAGCGTTGCAGTTCTTGACACAAACACACCCCTTTATCTACACTGATTGAAGTGGATTTAACAACTGACATCAATAAGGGATCATATCTTTCACCTAGATTCAGTCTATGTCATGGAAAGAGCAGGTGTTCTTAATGATTTGTACACCCATTGTATAGTGAGCAATATGTTTGGAACATCAAATCGCAATATCGAATTGCAATACATATAGAATCATGAGAATCGCAATACATATCGTATCGGCAACTAAGTACCACGATAATATCGTATTATGAAGTCACTGGTTATTCCCAGCCCTAAACACAACACACTCAGACAGGCACACAGTCCAGACGGTTCCTACAACACAACACAGACAGCAATCAGTCACTATGAATCTATCTCTTCTCTCTGTCCATCAACCAATAGGTCAGTTAAAACAATCAATCACTTGTATATTCTCTACCCATTCAAGTATCCATCCATCGATTGTGAACTATGTGGTTCTTACCTGGACACGTCCACAACAGTGAGGCTCTCTGGAACAGGAAACACCTCCAGCGCTCTCAGCTCTGGAAAAAAAAACAACACCCCATCAATACAGTATATACAGGGAACTGCCAAAATAAAGGAAACACTTGAGTAAATGAGGGATACAAAGTATATTGAAAGCAGGTACTTCCACACAGGTGTGGTTCCTGAGTTAATTAAGCAATTAACATCCAATCATGCTTAGGGCATGTATAAAAATGCCCAGTTGCCCATTATTTTGGCTACCATGGTTAAAAGAGATCTCAGTGATTTTGAAAGAGGGGTCTCAAAGGAGCATAGGGGGTTTAAAGTGTGTGTGTCTCAGTCACGAGATCTCAACCCAATTGAAAACTTATGGTAGATTCTGAAGCGGTGCCTGAGACAGCGGTTCCCACCACCATCAACAAAACATCAAAAATATGGAATTTCTCATGGAAGAATGGTGTCGTATCCCTCCGATAGAGTTCCAGACACTTGTAGAATATATGCCAAGGCCCATTGAACCGTTCTGGCTCGTGGTGGCCCAACGCCCTATCAAGACACTATGTTGGGGCCTCCCGAGTGGGGCAGTCGTCTAAGGCACTGCATCGCAGTGCTAGCTGTGCCACTAGAGATCCTGGTTCGAGTCCAGGCTCTGTCGCAGCTGGCCGCGACCGGGAGACCCATGGGGCGGCGCACAATTGGCCCAGCGCCGTCCATCGCGCACTAGCGACTCCTTTGGCGGGCCGGGCGCAGTGCACGCTGACTTGGTCGCCAGGTGTACGGTGTTTCCTCCGGCACATTGGTGTGGGCACTGTGTAAGAAGCAGTGCGGCTCAGTTAGGTTGTGTTTCGGAGGACGCATGACTCTCGACCTTCGCCTCTCCCGTGTCCGTACGGGAGTTGCAGCGATGGGACAAGACTGTAACTACCAATTGGATACCACGAAATTGGGGAGAAAAAGGGGGTAAAATAAAAAAATAAAAAAATGGACACTATGTTGGTGTTTACTGTATTTTGGCAGTTACCTGTATGTGCGTATGTGTCTGTACATGTCTCTCAACTGTTTGCAATGTGGATAATTACTATATAAAGTGTTCATGTTTGTGAGTGTACATGCATGAGCGGTATGTGTATGTGTACCGTTGTGTGCTGTGTACAGGCCCTTGAGTGCTAGGCCGCTGACTCTGAGGAGTGTGAGTGTGTTTCTGTCACAGCGTAGGAGCTCCAGCCTGGATAGGGACCTGACGTCAAGCTCCTCCAACCCAGCATCCCGCACATCTAACTGGGCCACGTGGCTCAGCAGGCCAGCCTCCCCAACCACCACCCTCTGGAGCCTGTTCAACCTACAACAAAGAGGGAGGGAGGGAGAGAGAGAGAGAGAGAGAGCGAGAGAAAGGGGGTTAGAGAATGGAGAGTGATCATTTAGTGAGATTTACTTTTCAAAACAGACATTTTCCACAAGTTTTTACATGTTGATATTGAGTTGAACCCCTTTTGCCCTCAGAACAGCCTCAATTCGTCAGGGCATGGACTCTACAAGGTGTCGAAAGTGTTCGACAGGGATGCTGGCCCATGTTGACTCCAATGCTTTCCACAGTAGTGTCAAGTTGGCTGGATGTCCTTTGGGTGGTGGACCATTACTGATACACACGGGAAACTGTTGAACATGAAAAACCCAGCAGCGTTGCAGTTCTTGACACACTCAAACTGGTGTGCCTGGTACCTACTACCATACCCCGTTCAAAAGCACTTAAATACAGTCGTGGTCAAAAGTTTTGAGAATGACACAAGTATTGGTCTTCACAAAGTTTGCTGCTTCAGTGTTTTTAGATATTTTTGTCAGATGTTACTATGGTATACTGAAGTATAATTACAAGCATTCCATAAGTGTCAAAGGCTTTTATTGACAATTACATTAAGTTTATGCAAAGACTCAATATTTGCGGTGTTGACCCTTATTTTTCAAGACCTCTGCAATCCGCCCTGGCATGCTGTCAACTAACTTCTGGGCCACATCCTGACTGATGGCAGCCCATTCTTGCATTATCAATGCTTGGAGTTTGTCAGAATTTGTGGGTTTTTGTTTGTCCACCCGCCTCTTGAGGATTGACCACAAGTTCTCAATGGGATTAAGGTCTGGGGAGTTTCCTGGCCATGGACCCAAAATGTCAATGTTTTGTTCCCCGAGCCACTGAGTTATCACTTTTGCCTTATGGCAAGGTGGTCTCAGGATGCTTTACTGTTGGCATGACACAGGACTGATGGTAGCGCTCACCTTGTCTTTTCCGGACAAGCTTTTTTCCGAATGCCCCAAACAATCGGCAAGGGGATTCATCAGAGAAAACTGACTTTACCCCAGTCCTCAGCAGTCCAATCCCTGTACCTTTTGCAGAATATCAGTCTGTCCCTGATGTTTTTCCTGGAGAGAAGTGGCTTCCTCGCTGCACTTCTTGACACCAGGCCATCCTCCAAAAGTATTCGCCTCACTGTGTGTGCAGATGCACTCACACCTGCCTGCTGCCATTCCTGAGCAAGCTCTGCACTGGTGGTGCCCCGATCCCGCAGCGGAATCAACTTTAGGAGACGGTCCTGGCGCTTGCTGGACTTTCTTGCCCCTTAACCATGGTTAACAGAGGAAGAACAATGATTTCAAGCACCACCCTCCTTTTAAAGCATCCAGTCTGTTATTCTAACTCAATCAGCATGACAGAGTGATCTCCAGCCTTGTCCTCGTCAACACTCTCACCTGTGTTAACGAGATAATCACTGACATGATGTCAGCTGGTCCTTTTGTGGTAGGGCTGAAATGCAGTGGACATTTGTTTTGAGGATTAAGTTCATTTTCATGGCAAAGAGGGACTTTGCAATTAATTGCAATTCATCTGATCACTCTTCATAACATTCTGGAGTATATGCAGATTGCCAAAATAAAAACTGAGGCAGCAGACTTTGTGAAAATTTTATATTTGTGTCATTCTCAAAACTTTTGACCACGACTGTACACAATCCATCAATTGTCTCAAGGCTTAAAAATCATTCTTTAACCTGACTCCTCCCCTTCATCTACACTGGTTGAAGTGGATTTAACAAGTCACAATAAGGGATCATATCTTTCACCTGGATACACCTGGTCAGTCTATGTCATGGAAAGAGCAGGTGTTCATAATATTTGGTATACTCAGTGTAGCTAAAGTATTCTTATTACCAGTGGTGACCCATCATTCAGGGCAGGTGGCAGAGCCCCACCTGTTTTGAGCCCCACCTGTTTTGCATGTTATTTGGCATTAATACGTGTCACATATCAGTTTGCAAACAATGTAAATAAAAATGTATTGAGTTAATAAAGCCACACACAAACATGGTCTCTTTTTTGCTTTCTTGAGTAAGACAGCTCCAAAATGCAGGTGTTTCAGCCTAGCTCAGTGCTTTCTGTGGTGGAGGAGCAGCCAGCGGAAAATACAAAGCGTAGGAGTTGGTAATCTTCTCTAGTTGCACCGTGATTGGCTCAGTGTTCTGTCACTCATGTGGACACTACTAATGGCTAACTGCAAGCGTTGCAGAGCAATCACGATTTTGCTTCCCCTGCTATTCGGTGGAGAGGGTGTGTGGTCCAAGTCTGGGTTTAAGGGTCTCTTTTCCAAGCTTAAAAGGATAAACATTCACATGCAACACCATGGGCCAGAAAAGGTTGAATACATTGGCCATGCTGTCAATCCATCATTACTTCGGCTGCGTTCAAAACAACTGGAAACTCTGGGAAAAAAACGAGCTCCGACTGGGAAAATTGGTTTTGAATGGTCATCCAACTCAGAATTCCAAGTCGGGAACAGAGCAAAACACTTGAAAGAACTAATTAAAACACTTATTTACAAAGTAATATACCTGAGATCTATGTGTCGGTGGGGGAGCCACTGCAGGCCGGCCATATCCAGAGAGGAGAGCTGATTCCCGGCCAGACAGAGCCTCTCCACCCTCCTGAGTCTCTCCAGGGCTGGAGGTACGCAGCTGAACAGGTTGAAGGACAGGCCCAGGTAGGTCAGGGCCTCCAGGGAGCCCAGCTCAGCAGGCAGGGAGCTCAGAGAGTTACCGTCCAGAAGCAGGGTCTGCAGGCTGGGGAGGAGGAGACGGAGAGAGGGGGTTAGTATGGAGCTCAGTGGGAGAGGGGATTGTGTGTGTGTAACCTTCACATGAGCTTTCTGTTATCGTGCCTGATTTTATGTGACATGTAAAACTTGTGTTTTTTTCCACGAGGGACATTGCAAATAGAGAGAGATTAGAATTTCAACTTTAAAAAGGCAACATCTTTCAGATCCTATTACTGCAGGATTCCCACCAACTACTCACATCCTGGTTATTCTGTAGTGGACGGACTGGGCAACAGCACAAAACCCAACACTAGTGCTGAGCGATTAACTGAATGTCTTTTTTGGGGGGAGGGGGGTTATAAAACAACTAATTGACCAATGTCGTTTCAATTACTTGAATTCCATTTATTTGCTCCCTCTCTCTTCTCCCTATCAATTCAATTTCAATTTTCAATTTAAGGGCTTTATTGGCATGGGAAACGTATGTTAACATTGCCAAAGCAAGTGAAGTAGATAGTAAACAAAAGTGAAATAGACAATAAATATTAACAGTAAACATTACACTCAGAAGTTCCCAAAAAAATTAAGACATTTCAAATGTCATATTATGTCTATATACAGTGTTGTAACAATGTGCCAATAGTTAAAGTACAAATGGGAAAATAAATAAACATAAATATGGGTTATATTTACAATGGTGTTTGTTCTTCACTGGTTGCCCTTTTCATGTGGCAACAGGTCACAAATCTTGCTGCTGTGATGGCACACTGTGGTATTTCACCCAGTAGATAAGGGAGTTTATCAAAATTGGATTTGTTTTCAAATTCTTTGTGGGTCTGTGTAATCTGAGGGAAATATGTGTCTCTATGGTCATACATTTGGCAGGAGGTTAGGAAGTGCAGCTCAGGTTCCACCTCATTTTGTGGGCAGTGTGCACATAGCCTGTCTTCTCTTGAGAGCCAGGTCTGCCTACGGCGGGCTTTCTCAATAGCAAGGCTATGCTCACTGAGTCTGTATATAGTCAAAGCTTTCCTTAAGTTTGGGTCAGTCACAGTGGTCAGGTATTCTGCCACTGTGTACTCTCTGTTTAGGGCCAAATAGCATTCTAGTTTGCTTTGTTATTTTGTTAATTCTTTCCAATGTGTCAAGTAATTCTCTTTTTGTTTTCTCATGATTTGGTTGGGTCTAATTGTGTTGCTGTCCTGGGGCTCTGTGGGGTCTGTTTGTGAACAGAGCCCCAGGACCAGCTTGCTTAGGGGACTCTTCTCCAAGTTCATCTCTCTGTAGGTGATGGCTTTGCTATGGAAGGTTTGAGAATCGCTTCCTTTTAAGTGGTTATAGAATTTAACGGATCTTTTCTGGATTTTGATAATTAGTGGGTATCGGCCTAATTCTGCTCTGCATGCATTATTTGGTGTTTTCCGTTGTACATGGAGGATATTTTGTCAGAATTCTGCATACAGTCTCAATTTGGTGTTTGTCCCATTTTGTGAATTATTGGTTGGTGAGCGGACCCCAGACCTCACAACCATAAAGGGCAATGGGTTCTATAACTGATTCAAGTAATTTTAGGCAGATCCTAATTGGTATGTTGAATTTTATGTTCCTTTTGATGGCATAGAAGGCCCTTCTTGACTTGTCTCTCTGATCGTTCACAGCTTTGTGTAAGTTACCTGTGGCGCTGATGTTAAGGCCGAGGTATGTATCGTTTTTTTTGTGTGCTCTAGGGTCCCTCTCTCCCTCCCTCGACCCCACTCACCTGTGCATGGTCCCCAGGGCGGAGGGCAGAGAGGTCAGACGGTTGCCTTGGAGGTTGAGCTCCGTCAGGGAGGTGATGTCACACACGGCCAGAGGGAAGTCAGACAGAGCGTTGTTAGAGAGATTGAGGCTCCTCAACCTGCAGAACCTAGATAGAGGCAGGGGGAGCGAGAGATGGGGGAGAGAGAGAGAGGGAGATGGGGGAGAGAGAGAGAGGGAGATGGGGGAGAGAGAGAGAGGGAGATGGGGGGGGGAGCGAGAGAGAGGGAGATGGGGGAGAGAGAGAGGGAGATGGGGGAGAGAGAGAGGGAGATGGGGGAGATAGAGAGGGAGATGGGGGAGAGAGAGAGGGAGATGGGGGAGAGAGAGAGGGGGTTAATCAAGATAGGAATCTTCAGAGAAAAACAAACAATAACATCACAGAAACTAAAGAGTCAGTAAGAAGAAGCCTCTGGTTACCTAATGAGCCCATTCAGAACAACAACACTGGAGAGAGGGAGGACTACGTTCCAAATGGCAGAGTGCACTACTTTTGACCAGAGGACTTGATATTTACCATCTGCTATTCTCTCTATTCAGCACTTCAAAAATAACTGTTTGAAAAATGTATCTTGTATTTTTTGTTATTGGATTAAATGTTAGTTAAAATGACTAAATGATAAGCCTGTCATCATTCATTTGATATATTGGTGACTAAACTAAATCTTGTCATTGTATTTCACTGAACACTTAGATTTTGCATGATTGCCTCAGGGGTGAAAGATGTGTTCAACTCCAATGAATACACAATCAAAGGTTCTGAACATAAGACATGGGGCAATACAAGTGTTATCTGTTTTGAACTAAGAGTTTTGAAAATATACCACTTATATACCACATCTGAAAAATGTGCCAAAGCGATCAAAATAAACTGTAAAGACACTTAATGCTGGTGTTTCCTTTATTTGGGCAGTTACCTGTATGTGAGCAGCACAAGTATATTGTTGTGATTGCACACATAAAAATATCCTTGAAAAATAAGCTACCACAAACTGTGATGCGTGTGAAAATCTGGTGGGCACGTGTGTGATAATCTTTGCCAAATCTGATAGGCACTCGGTTCCCCTAGTCTTCCCAGGCCTAACTAGCCTAATCCGGTTCACCGGATTTCCAAGGAAAAGCCACAGCCAGCCGCATTCGCAGCGCAGTGCCGCGCCACGGGAAAAACACATTCCTGAAGCCCCGGCTGCCTCCCCTCCTCTCCTCTCCTCTCCTCTCCCCTTGGGAAAGCTGTGTTTATGGAGGAACAATGGGAGCACAAAGCCATTCCCATCGGAAGTACAACCAGAGCTAACACAGTCACTGAACCACAGCGAGAACACTAACAGAGAGGGGGAGGAAGAGAGAAAGGGAGAGAATGAGAGAGAAAGGGAGAGAGTGAGAGAGAAAGGGAGAGCGAAAGGGCGAGAGACACACAGAGGTAGAAAGAGAGAAAGTGAGAAAATGCATCCAGAAGGAGGAAGGTAGATGGAGAAAGGAAGAGAGTGAGAGGAGGAGGAGGATGTCCTGTATGCAGAGAGAGAGGAGGAGGAGGATGTCCTGTATGCAGAGAGAGAAAGGAGGGGGATGATGTCCTGTATGCAGAGAGAGAGGAGGATGATGTCCTGTATGCAGAGAGAGAAGGAGGGGATGATGTCCTGTATGCAGAGAGAGAGAGGAGGATGATGTCCTGTATGCAGAGAGAGAAAGGAGGGGGATGATGTCCTGTATGCAGAGAGAGAGGAGGATGATGTCCTGTATGCAGAGAGAGAAAGGAGGGGGATGATGTCCTGTATGCAGAGAGAGAAAGGAGGAGGATGATGTCCTGTATGCAGAGAGAGAGAGGAGGATGTCCTGTATGCAGAGAGAGAGAGGAGGATGATGTCATGTATGCAGAGAGAGAGGAGGATGATTGTCCTGTATGCAGAGAGAGAGGAGGAGGATGATGTCCTGTATGCAGAGAGAGAAGGAGGAGGATGATGTCCTGTATGCAGAGAGAGAAAGGAGGAGGATGATGTCCTGTATGCAGAGAGAGAAAGGAGGAGGATGATGTCCTGTATGCAGAGAGAGAGAGGAGGAGGATGATGTCCTGTATGCAGAGAGAGAGGAGGAGGATGATGTCCTGTATGCAGAGAGAGAGGAGGAGGATGATGTCCTGTATGCAGAGAGAGAGAGGAGGAGGATGATGTCCTGTATGCAGAGAGAGAGAGGAGGATGATGTCCTGTAGCAGAGAGAGGGAGGGATGATGTCCTGTATGCAGAGAGAGAGGAGGAGGATGATGTCCTGTATGCAGAGAGAGAGAGGAGGAGGATGATGTCCTGTATGCAGAGAGAGAAGGAGGAGGATGATGTCCTGTATGCAGAGAGAGAAAGGAGGAGGAGGATGTCCTGTATGCAGAGAGAGAAAGGAGGAGGAGGATGTCCTGTATGCAGAGAGAGAGAGGAGGAGGAGGATGTCCTGTATGCAGAGAGAGAAAGGAGGAGGATGTCCTGTATGCAGAGAGAGAGGAGGAGGATAGATTAATATAGTGTTTCTCTGTTCCGTAAAGGTGAGGGTCTGTTTTCCTAACCACTGTTTGATACTGAAAGTTGAGCAGTGTGATCAGTGTGGCCAGATGGGAAGATTATTCAAGGGAGTCCTGTCCCATCTCCCCATCCATCCCCACTGTCTGATGTCTCCCAAAGCAGAGCAGCTCACACAAACACTAACAGTAACACTACACCAGGCCTGGGACAGAAGGTGCGTCTCAAAAGGCACCCTATTCCCTATATAGTGTACTACATTTGACCAGGGCCCATAGTGCACTATATAGGGAATAGTGTACACTATAGAGAATAGGGAGCCATTTGGGATGTAGACAGTCTCCATGGTGGGGAGCATTGTATTACTGTAAGCATAGAAGGGTTAGCTAGAAGGAGAAGGAGCGAGAACCTGACCGCAGTCAATGACACTGCTGGGCCCCAACCCTGGCTAAAGGTCACTGAGGAGGAGCAGCCAATCACAATGCAGTCGTTGTGTTTTGGACCAATCATGTCTCAAGGCTTGCAGGCCGAGACTCCAAAAACAGGTCATAGGTGAGAGGTCTGGGAAGCACTGGCCATAGATTAATGAAAGCTCCAGAGGGAAACTGTGTGTGTGTATATAACTCAAGTTCGGATTTCCCCTCCTACTTCCGCTGACGTCTGCTTCTAATCAACCCCAACCTGTTTTCTTAGACCAAATCAATCCTAAGGGAACACAAACACACATACACATCACACACAGATCTGTAGTTTAATCCAATCCTCTAACTCTGCGACCATATGGTGATTCCCAGAGAGATGGAGAGAGCGCGCGAGAGAGAGGCTGTCGAAGGACAAACCGCCCACATCACGCCACTCCTCTCTTAACCCCTCCCTCCTTGCAGAAGTATATATTGAGCCCTTCTCCTAGCCCATGTCTCTCAGTTACTTTCCTTTTCTTCTCCTCTTCCCCCACTCCCTCCATTCCATCCTACCACCTCTTCCCACAGCCTGCAGGGGTACATACCTGGTGAGATGTGTGAGGCCCGTCAGGTAGTTGTGTTTGAGGTTGAGGTGGGTCAGGTCCTGGCTGTAGAACAGCTGAGAAGGCAGCTCCTCCAGACTGCAACATGACAGGTCCACAGAACTCACCCTCTGAGACACTATCTGATGGAGGGAGAGGGAGGGAGAGCGAGAGGGTGGGAGAGAGAGGGTGGGGGAGAGAGAGGGTGGGGAGAGAGAGGGTGGGAGAGAGAGAGATAAAGGGTAAGAGACAAAGGGTTTACATTTTTCAGATTGCCGACAACTTGAAGACACGCAACTCAACTCTGAGCGCACACACACACAAGCACAGGCGAGCGTACGTACGTACGTACGTACGTACCTTGGCAGCGTGTCTGTGCCAGCGGAGGTGTTCTGTGTAAGAGTCATAGCTGATGTAATAGGTCTGACTCTGGGGACCAGAAGAACTGAAGGCTAGACAGTGACTGTGTCTCCTCACCTCCTCCACCTGAACAGCACACACAGAGACAGAGACACAGAGAGAGACAGATACACAGAGAGAGAGAGATACACAGAGAGAGACAGATACACAGAGAGAGAAAGAGAGAGAGAGAGGGGGACCGAGAGAGCGAGAGAGAAGAGAGAAAGAGATTAGCTCTGCGATTAGAGACCAAAAACAATGTGACAACTGCCAGCCAGAGGAAAATAACAGGGAGGGAGTCATGTGGTGGAGGAGGGGCAGGGGCCGGTGTGTGGAAGCGGTGTGGTCGGGGCAAGCAGGGAGGGAGAGAGAGAGGCAATATATAGCCAACTCGTGACTAACTTGTAGCTAGCCATATATTTATCATCCCATCTGACAATGGAGAATAAAAGCTAGCTAAACTAGCCAGCTAGCTAGTTTAGCTACGCTCCCCGTCCTTGTCAAATTAGAACAACTCCACTCAACATAGAGCCTCTGACTGTAGTGCCGCTTTGATTGGCTGACAAAACAACAAGCTACATGCTTGAAGGCTACCAGTCTTATTTTTTTTATGGGTTGCATATCATAAAAACTACATTCAAAAGTTTGTTTTATAAAATTAATACATTTCAAATGTTATGGAATATCCTTGTATGTAACAATGTCACATGGCTATTTTAATTTAATTTAGACAACGCCTTTTCATTGTTAATTTAGACCTAGTCTATAAATGTTTTTCTCTAATTAATATTTCACACAAGTAATCGAATACTAACGCCCATTCGGATATTCAAATAACCTTTCCCATCCCTAGTGTGTGTGTGTGTGTGTGTGTGTGTGTGTGTGTGTGTGTGTATCAGGGTTTCCGTTAGCCACCGGCCAAATTGACCGGGAGAAAAAAAAACAATCCCATTGCAAAATACTGATTTTTAATAACAAGAAGAGCGAAAATCGATTTATTTTATCTTCACATTCTAAAATAATTAGAAATCTATTTCCGATTATTTATTTCATTTCCACGATCATTGCAGAATAAATTCCTCACCTTTTCTTACTCTGACGGTTTCATACTCGCAAAATAGCCTATTGGCCTACAACAAGTTAGGATAGGCTACCATTCGATCATTTCTCATTTAATTGGACCCACTTCACAGTAGTTAAATCGATAAGCTACCAGTATTTAAAAGTATTTTGCTCTATGCAATACGATCCGAAGCGCAGTTTAACGGTAGAACAGACGGTTCACCTTTTCCATTGACGTTTGTGATTGAGAGGGGGTCGGGTACTTATTTCCCTCATTGAAGTGCAGGTCAATTTGTAGCATTTTTGACATGCGTTTTTCTGGATTTTTTTGTTGTTGTTCTGTCTCTCACTGTTCAAGTGGACCTACCGTTGAGGTTGTGGACTGATCGTTTCTTTGTCGGTGGGCAGGCGTGCGAAATCAGCAGGGGATCAAGTGCTTTTTTTCCCTCTCACTGTATATAGAATAAACTCTCCCCTTCGTGTTTATCTGGACAGTGAAGCTAAAACTTTTCAATTGGCTCAGCAGTGTACTCCAGCATTTTGGATTTTATATCAAATATTTTGTATGAGGCAGAATGTCACTTATTTGAGGGTATTTTCATACATATCAGTTTTACAGTTTAGACATGAAAGCACTTTATGTATCGTCTGCTAAATGACTCAAATGTAAATGTAAATGTAGACAACGTCGGAATACTGTAAGTACTTTCTCGAGTAGCTGAATATTGATTTATAGTAATACAATTCATACATGCACTTCGCCATGATGAATCATTTCCAAGTACATCCACAAATACATTGACTTTTATTTTAATTCCATGCAATCTCTCTTTAATTGGGCTATTAGAAGGTTTATATTTCACTTTTTCGCTTGATACGAAAGGACGCGGTATCCAACTAGAATAAAGGTGAACAGACAGTTGATATTTTGCATTGAAGTGTGTAGGCTACCACTGTAAGTAAGGCTACTGTAGTTTTATGTTTCAGAATTCTCAGGCAGTGCAGCATATTTAGGTTCGGGAGAAAGTAAATGCAAAACATCATTTCATTCAAACGATCTGTTTGTAGGTCCACAACAATTTGCTATTGTTTTTGTCTTTCAGAAACCGTAAATGTCACTGCAAAAGAAAACATCCTGCCAACACCTCCAAAGACATTTGATCAAAATATGCCATTTAGCAGACGCTTTTATCCAAAGCGACTTACAGTCATGCGTGCATACATTTTTTTTTTTGTGTATGGGTGGTCCCGGGGATCGAACCCACTACCTTGGCGTTACAAGCGCCGTGCTCTACCAGCTGAGCTACAGAGGACCACAAGTTGGCCATTGCTATTTCCTTTAGATATACTGTGTTCGTTTAATTCCAATACTTCCAAAGTATACAGCAAATAAGGGCGTTATTGTCACCATAAAAGGTGAATGATGAGTTATAATGCTCGTTCACGTGCGCACACTTTTATGTCAGGTCATATTTTTTAAAATGGGAAACATGCGTATGTATGGCCAAGTATATAAATCTCAATACTTTTCAGAAATAGCGCAAGCAGATAATTAGTGTAACATTTACGCAATGGTTATAAATGAATCTCCACTTTTTATAAACGCACTCCCTTAACTTTAACAAGACAGAGAAACCAGACACATGCTCATTGCTCACATGGAACACTCCTAACAAAGAAAAAAAAAACTTATAAATGATGGTTAAGAAATTAACCAAAACTTGTTTTTCACACGTGTAGCAGCTCGTGAACTCTGCAAACAACGTTTCCACTCTGAGAATGAGAACAGTAAATGACTGTATGCTAATTTATACATCCATTAACATAAATTAATGTAACCAAATGACGGGGATTAATGGTACATTTATTACTGGTGACATATGTAAATAGTAATTGATCAACATAAACAATCAAAGGGCAAAAAATTCACACAATGAATGAGCAAGAATTGGCAGGAGAGAGCTGAGTGCATTTTGGAGACAGACACCCCTCACCTTCTTCTTGTCTCAACGTTTTAAATGATACTCAAGACACATTATCTTCACACATAGGCTACTTTAGATGCTTTTCACTGACAGCTAATCAGCTAGGCCTAGTGCCACGCATGCTTCCCAAATAAGTATAGACAAAGCATGTGATATGAAACAATCCACTGTTATTTTTTAAAAAGAAGCTAATGATCCTTGATTCCTCTGTGGCCTATGAAAGACTTCCTCCTCATATTCCATTTCTCTCCTGTTCTACTGGTTTTCTTATCAACTTTATTTCATTGTCCAGAAGCCAAAGGCACAATCATAGTCATTATAGCAACCCATCCTAGTTGTTGCATCTTTAGATTCCCCCTCTTCCTAAGTTTCAAACAGAGATGTTCATCTCTGTCACATATGGAACTGCTTGTGTATCAGGTGTGCTGTTTAGAATGGTGTTTCACGCGAATTGCATTTTGGCAAATTACGTTTTATTGGCTGCTTCATTACAGGAGTTGCATGTTCTGTTAATATTCATTACCATAATCGAAATGTGATTTCTGTAATTCTGAGCACGTGTGTGGACACCCTTAATGGGTTATGCACCCAATGCATATGGGTCCGGTAAATTTCAAAAAAAATGGCCAGTAAATTAAAATCTAACGGAAACCCTGGTGTGTGTGTTCAGTACCTTTCCACCGATGAGGGGCAGGATGTGCATCTTGCCGGTGTGAGCGTATTTGACGGAAGAGACGATGAGACAGGTGCCACTCAGGGTGACGTGTCGTCGTGACCACCGGTTGACAGGCAGGGCCAGCTTCCCCTTCCTTACGTTAAACACACCTGTCAGCTGCACCCGGTCTGCTCCACCCACACAGCGCGGCTTACCTGGAGGGAGGGGGGGGGGTTGGAGAAAACAAAAAATAACATAAAATCTCAGATCCTCCTGCTGAAAGAATGACGTTTCAGAAGAATCCTCCAAGTAAGAGAGACAGAGACAGGGGAGAGAGAGGGTCTCTGTGTGTGTCTCTGTGTGTGTGTCCGTGTGTATGTGTGTCCGTGTGTGTCTCGGTGTGTTTAGGTGAGGTTAGTTACAGGTTACGTGACGTATAATTTATAGTTCTAGTGGCTGAGGGGTGGCTGGACGGTCAGTGTTAATGAATGGAGAGGAGGTGTAAGGGTAGATGTAATTCATTCAGCTAGCCCTAACCCTAGCCCTTTATTTCCTCAGGAAATGAAAGCGTTCCTCTCCCAGGGAAGTCTTAACCTTGGCCACCACATACACAGGTAGCAGATAAGCCTTGTCTGAGCCAGAACTGCGGCAGATGGAGCTCCTGCAGTACTGACTGTACTGACTGGGTCAGTGCTTGGTGGTGTGCATTTTTAGCAGCACTAAGGTGTGTGTGTAGAAAAACATTTTTTAGCACTTTAAGAATGGGTGTGCTCTCATGTAGGCTGTCACCCACCCACACACACACCAGGGGTCAAGCTGAGTTCAGCAATCAGCATTTTCATAATGCAGACAATCAAAAAATCTGTGTTTTAAACCATTTCACCTGTGTTTTATATTGAAAGCCAACAGTGTTTTTTGTTGTTGCTTCAAGAGTGATCAGGGGCGTGCAACCATAGTTTTCCTTCACAGAAAATACATTACTGCAACACATTCGGCAGAAAATAGCTTCATTTTCATGAGATTACCGCAGAAGTGCAACGTTATTTGGATCGCAGCCACACAAGTAAATGAGCTTACAATGAAAAAGCAAGGTCATGATAAACATTATTTCTAATGGTTATCATAGAAAGAATGTAGCCAGCTACATTTCCTTTTTTGCCTGAAGTTAATCTTGCATTTTACCGTAGAAAAGTAGGCTAAACCGAGAAAAGTACCAGAGAAAAGTAGTTCCACATCAGTCAGAGCACTGTGTGCCGATAGAATGCCTTGTTCGTGAATTGTCATCTGAGTGGAGAAGTGCAACTGAAGCACAAAGGTAGTCTGATGCAGAAATTACAATAAGAAGCATTTTAGATCTGCGTTTACAAAACGCAGGGGGGGGGGGGACTCGGAATTCTGCGTTAATGTGACTCCTGCACACACACACACACACACACACACACACACACACGGGAGCCAGTTCCAGTTTTAGAGAGAGGCTAAGAGAGAGAGAGAGAGAGAGAGACAGCGACTAAGAGAGAGACAGAGAGAGAGAGAAAGAGCTGACAACCAGATCTGTCTGCTTCTCCATTTCTTCTTATAGAGCCCTTTGTGTGTGTGTGTGTGTGTGTGTGTGTGTGTGTGTGTGTATATACGATCATATTTTCCTGAGATTGCCGTTTTTTGTCCTCTGATACCCTCTCTGCCTCACTCACTTTAACACACACACACACACACACACACTCTCAGGTGTTCCAGTGCTTTACTCGGGGGGATAGAGGGAGGGATGGAGGGAGAAAGGAGAGAAAGACGAATTGTAGACATAAAGTCATCCAGACTGCTGTGCTATTCATCAATGCACATTACATACCAGTAACACCAAAACACACACACTTTCTTTTCAACATAAACACACACACACACACATTGCCAAAAGGTGGCACAGCTCTGGCCAGAGGCTGCATAGTGGTATCCTGTAGCCCTCTGTCTCTTTAAGAGAGAAAGGTGAAGATAGACACCCCCAGGTCCATCAATAATAGAGAACTGACTAAAGATGAGATAGAGCTAGTTAACAGCACGTGCAGTCACGTCTGAACAGCCCTGTGGAATGTATGAAATGTGTGATTATCAACATACTCTAGATTATCGTTATGGTTACAGACCATACAGAGAGAGCAGCCAGGCCACAAGTGTTTATATGCTGGTTTGCAGGGTAATGAAGGGGGGGGCTGAGGTATAAGCTATAAACAGAGCAGAGTGAGAGAAAGAGCTCGTGAGAGAGCGAGACCAGAGGGGTTAAAAAAATATTCCCCCCAGCCCAGAGAGGAGAGGATTACGTTATTCCATACAATGCCCCCTCAGAGAGAATGTGGCGTGTCCTCATTAGCATACCCCCCCCTTGCTCCTTTTCTGTCTGCTCCCATGGCTCTAGGGACAAGCCCCGCACCCCTCCCTGGGGCTGTTTCTGGTCCCAGGCAGAACTATCTGGTCTGCTCTACCCAGAGTCCCTACAGCCTATCTGGCTTGCATCATCAATAGCCACTTATTCCCTAGTGCACTACTTTTGACCAGATAGGAAATAAGGTACCATTTGGGATGCACCCTTGGTCTGGCTGCTCTCTCCCTACTTCAGAGACCACCGTTTCCATCAACATGGCTACATCACTACAATAATGTTCAAAGTAAATGAAGGTACAGTAAAGGATGGGCAGCCTTACCACCCAACCACACACACACACAGAGCCACTGATGGAGGGTTTGGGGCTCAGAGCTAGGAGGCCCTAACTCATACACACTTGAGGAATCCTCGACCCACACCCCCCCCTCTCCCTAATGATGTGCTCATCCTCTGATCAGGCCACTAGTTACAGGCCTACATACAATGATGTGCTCATCCTCTGATCAGGCCACTAGTTACAGGCCTACATACAATGATGTGCTCATCCTCTGATCAGGCCACTAGTTACAGGCCTACATACAATGATGTGCTCATCCTCTGATCAGGCCACTAGTTACAGGCCTACATACAATGATGTGCTCATCCTCTGATCAGGCCACTAGTTACAGGCCTACATACAATGAGGGGCTCATCCTCTGATCAGGCCACTAGTTACAGGCCTACATACAACAGCATTTTGTGCACCAATGTAAAACACAATGGTATAGGCTAATTTTAGACAAACATACATGTAATGTAAACTCAAACCATTCTAGGTGGAGTAGTGTAGGCATAGTCTGTGTTAATGTACAGTCGTGGTCAAAAGTTTTGAGAATGACACAAATATTAATTTTCACAAAATCTGCTGCCTCAGTTTTTATGATGGCAATTTGCATATACTCCAGAATGTTATGAAGAGTGATCAAATGAATTGCAATTAATGCAAAGTCCCTCTTTAATCCCCAAAAAACATTTCCACTACATTTCAGCCCTGCCACAAAAGGACCAGCTGACATCATGTCAGTGATTCTCTCGTGAACACAGGTGACAGTGTTGACGAGGACAAGGCTGGAGAAAAAAAAAAAAGGTACAGGGATTGGACTGCGGAGGACTGGGGTAAAGTCATTTTCTCTGATGAATCCCCTTTCCGATAGTTTGGGGCATTCAGAAAAAACCTTGTCCGGAGAAGACAAGGTGAGTGCTACCATCAGTCCTGTGTCATGCCAACAGTAAAGCATCCTGAGACCATTTATGTGTGGGGTTGCTTCTCAGCCAAGGGAGTTGGCTCACTCACAATTTTGCCTAAGAACACAGCCATGAATAAAGAATGGTACCAACACATCCCCCGAGAGCAACTTCTCCCAACCATCCAAGAACAGTTTGGTGACGAACAATGCCTTTTCCAGCATGATGGAGCACCTTGCCATAAGGCAAAAGTGATAACTAAGTGGCTCGGGAACAAAACATGGCCAGGAAACTCCCCAGACCTTAATCCCATTGAGAACTTTTTTTTTTTTTTTGAGAACTTGTGGTCAATCCTCAAGAGGCGGGTGGACAAACAAAAACCCACAAATTCTGACAAACTCCAAGCATTGATTATGCAAGAATGGGCTGCCATCAGTCAGGATGTGGCCCAGAAGTTAGCTGACAGCATGCCAGGGCGGATTGCAGAGGTCTTGAAAAAGAAGGGTCAACACCGCAAATATTGAGTCTTTGCATAAACTTAATGTAATTGTCAATAAAAGCCTTTGACACTTATGGAATGCTTGTAATTATACTTCAGTATACGATAGTAACATCTGACAAAAATATCTAAAAACACTGAAGCAGCAAACTTTGTGAAGACCAATACTTGTGTCATTCTCAAAACTTTTGACCACGACTGTACACTACCGGTCATTTTTTACTATTTTCTACATTGTAGAATAATAGTGAAGACATCAAAACTATGAAATAACACATATGGAATCATGTAGTAACCCAAAAAGTGTTAAACAAATCCAAATATATTATATTTGATTCTTTAAATATTCACCCTTTGCCTTGATGACAGCTTTGCACACTCTTGGCATTCTCTCAACCAGCTTCACCTGGAATGCCTTTCCAACAGTCTTGAAGGAGTTCCCACATATGATGAACACTTGTTGGCTGCTTTTCCTTCACTCTGCGGTCCGCCTCATCCCAAACCATCTCAATTTGGTTGAGGTCGGGTGATTGTGGAGGCCAGGTCATCTGATGCAACACTCCATCACTCTCCTTCTTGGTAAAATAGCCCTTACACTGCCTGGAGGTGTATTGGGTCATTGTCCTGTTGAAAAACAAAAATGATAGTCCTACTAAGACCAAACCAGATGGGATGGCGTATCGCTGCAAAATGCTGTGGTAGCCATGCTGGTTAATCACATACAGTGTCACCAGCAAAGCACCCCCACACCATAACATCTCCTCCTCCATGCCTTACGGTGGGAAATACACATGCGGAGATCATTCGTTCACCCACACTGCGTCTCACAAAGACACGTCAGTTGGAACCAAAAATCTCTGATTTGGACTCCAGACCAAAGGACAAATTTCCACCAGTCTAATGTCCATTGCTCGTGTTTCTTGACCCAGGTCTCTTCTTATTATTGGTGTCCTTTAGCAGTGGTTTCTTTGCAGCAATTCGACCATGAAGGCCTGATTCACACAGTCTCCTCTGAACAGTTGATGTTGAGATGTCTGTTACTTGAACTCTGTGAAGCATTTATTTGGGCTGCAATTTCTGAGGCTGGTAACTCTAATGAACTTATCCTCTGCAGCAGAGGTAACTCTGGGTCTTCCATTCCTGTGGCGGTCCTCATGAGAGCCAGTTTCATCATAGCGCTTGATGGTTTTTGCGACTGCACTTGAAGAAACTTTCAAAGTTCTTGACATTTTCCATATTGACTGACCTTCATGTCTTAAAGTAATGATGGACTGTCATTTATCTTTGCTTATTTAAGCTGTTCTTGCCATAATATGGACTTGGTATTTTACCAAATAGGGCTATCTTCTGTATATCCCCCCTAACTTGTCACAACACAACTGATTGGCTCAAATGCATTAAGAAGGAAATATATTCCACAAATTAACTTTTAAGAAGGCACACGTGTTAATTGAAATGCATTCCAGGTGACTACCTCATGAAGCTGGTTGAGAGAATGCCAAGAGTGTGCAAAGCTGTCATCAAAGCAAAGGGTGGCTATTTGAAGAATCTCAAATATAAAATATATTTGGATTTGTTTAACAATTTTTTGGTTACTACATGATTCCATATGTGTTATTTCAGAGTTTTGATGTCTTCACTATTATTCTACAATGTAGAAAATAGTAAAAAATAAAGAAAAACCCTTGAATGAGTAGGTGTTCTAAAACTTTTGACCGGTAGTGTACACACACACACACACACACACACACACACACACACACACACACACATAATGTATGTATACAGTTGAAGTCGGAAGTGTACATACACTTATGTTGGAGTCAGTAAAACTAGTTTTTCAACCACTCCACACATTTCTTGTTTACAAACTATAGTTTTGGCAAGTCAGTTAGGACATCTACTTTGTGCATGACACAAGTAATTGTTCAAACAATTGTTTACAGACAGAGTATTTCACTTATAATTCACTGTATCACAATTCCAGTGGGTCAGAAGTTTACATACACTAAGTTGACTGTGCCTTTAAACAGCTTGGAAAATTCCAGAAAATTATGTCATGGCTTTAGAAGCTTCTGATAGGCTAATTGACATCATTTGAGTCAATTGGAGGTGTACCTGTGGATGTATTTTAAGGCCTACCTTCAAACTCAGTGCCTCTTTGCTTGACATCAAGGGAAAATCAAAAGAAATCAGCCAAGACCTCAGGTTCATCCTTGGGAGCAATTTCCAAACGCCTGAAGAGGTACCACGTTCATCTGTACAAACAATAGTACGCAAGTATAAACACCATGGGACCACGCAGCCGTCATACTGCTCAGGAAGGAGACGCGTTCTGTCTCCTAGAGATTAACGTACTTTGGTGCGAAAAGTGCAAATCAATCCCAGAATAACAGCAAAGCACCTTGTGAAGATGCTGGAGGAAACGGGTACAAAAGTATCTATATCCACAGTAAAACAAGTCATATTTCGACATAACCTGAAAGGCCGCTCAGCAAGGAAGAAGCCACTGCTCCAAAACCGCCATAAAAAAGCCAGACTACGGTTTGCAACTGCACATGGGGACAAAGATCGTACTTTTTGGAGAAATGTCCTCTGGTCTGATGAAACAAAAATATAACTGTTTAGTCATAATGACCATCGTTATGTTTGGAGGAAAAAGGGGGTTGCTTGCAAGCAGAACTGAAAAAGTTTGTGCGAGCAAGGAGGCCTACAAACCTGACTCAGTTACACAAGCTCTGTCAGGAGGAATGGGTCAAAATTCACCCAACTTATTGTGGGAAGATTGTGGAAGGCTACTCGAAACGTTTGACCCAAGTTAAACAATTTAAAGGCAATGCTACCAAATACTAATTGAGTGTATGTAAACTTCTGACCCACTGGGAATGTGATGAAAGAAATAAAAGCTGAAATAAATCACTCTCTACTATTATTCTGACATTTCACATTCTTAAAATAAAGTGGTGATCCTAACTGACCTAAGACAGGGAATATTTACTAGAATTAAATGTCAGGAATTGTGAAAAACTGAGTTTAAATGCATTTGGCTAAGGTGTATGTAAACTTCCGACTTCAACTGTACATGTACACCCTTTCCTTCCACCCCTTCCTTTCCGCAGAGCAACATCCTGTCCCTCATGACCACTTCCTGTCTGAGACGGAGTTGGACGGAGTAGACATTCTTAGCACTTCTGGTGTCCCCGCCCTTCCCTTATGTCCAAGAACCTTCTAAAGGCATCCCAAACATCCTAACTCTTATCCAATGTCCTGTCTGTGTTTGACCTTAGGCATCCAAAAGACACCCCACCCTTTCACAGCCACTCAAATAATTGTCCCCAACAAGCGTAGTCTCCAAGGACTGTCCATTCATTCCCATTTCCAACAACACATACACATCAACTTTTAGTCTGTCCACAACATGAACATTAAACTCCATAACTAACTTTCTTTTCACACTCAAATCATTGACACTTTCTTTCCGTCTTTCTATGGTTATACAGACAGGAGGACAAGGATGTTTTGGGTGTGTGGGGTTGTCAAGTTAAACCAGACAGGGGAGTAGGTGCTTTTAGCAATGCGGGTGTATTTACATACACTAGTGTTGCTTTCAATTGTATTGGGTTGCACTAAAACAGTCTGTGTGAAGCCAGAAATGAAATACAATTCCATTTCAACTTACTGTGCCAGTAGGCAGGATGGTCATTATGACGGGGGGAATTTGAGACAAAATATCTGAAGGATCGTATTATTAAACAGAATTTCCAAACGTGGGTCTGTTGTGGACATATGTGGACAAAAAAGGAATAGCTTGTGTGTGATTTTTATTTTGACATGAGGTAAACAGACCCACGTTTGGAAAGTCTGTTTAATAATATGATCCTTTAGATATTTTGTCTCAAATTCCCCGTCATAATGACCAACCGTCCTGGCCACCAGCACAGTAAGTTGAAATGGAATTGTATTTCACTTCCAGCTGCTGGTAGGGCTGGAACAATTACCATACACCTGTGTAACCGACAGTTAGTTTTTTTTGTATGACTTTAGTTTCTGGGAACAAACAACTGACTGAAGACGGGACGGCCGGGCAATCGTGGGGCAATTTGACTGGTAAACTCATGGGCACACTCGCCTGGTATTGTGATGAAATAATTTATATGGTAATGTAGAATGTTCATTTAAATGATGTTAACTGATTTGGCTCATGCAAGGGAATGTCTTTTTTGTGATGTTAGTTGAGTTGAATCAAAAAATCACAGCACATATTGATGGGTACACTTCCTGCTTTTTTTCCTCGCAATGGCCGCCAATCCACCTATTATGCCATCATTGACTGGAATTGGGACACCCGTTCTATTCATTCTATTTTTATGACAGCACATGCAGTCAGGAGCAGAGGAGAGTTAAAAATGTGTGTCGAGCAGTTTTTACAGAGACTGCGGTCATTTGGCTGGCCAATAACCATCATCCAAAATTCCATGGCCGTCACAGCCCTAGCTGCTGGGCTTGGTAGCGGAGCTAGAGCAGTTACCTTGGGGTGGAGCAGAGACAGAGCAGCCAGTGACCTCTGGGTAATGCAGTTTGGGCAGGCAGCCGACTATACTGTCTACTGTCGCAGGTAGATCACCAACACTGAGGAGGTGAAATTTGAGTTCTGCACAGCTCATTGTTCTCTCCTCGTCAGCAAAGCACACACTGTGTGTGTTTGTGTGTCCAACGTGCCTTTTCCAGGGGGCACTCAGAATGTCCGACTCAGACTCCTCTGACTGGCAACGATGAACAGCCCTAGGCATCACAACTCTTACTTTACACACAATCCAAAACCTAAGTACCCAAGTCTCCTTCAATTATTTCCACAAGTAGTCTAGAATAGATCAGCTCTTTGAATCTACCTTGAATAGCCTTGACACTCCCAGACAGATGCCAAAACCCACCCTGAAAGGAGAAAGCCTTCCCAGTTCCACACCCCAATACATTGACATACACTAGGGCTGGGAATAGCCAGGGGCCTCATGATATGATATTATCACCATACTCAGGTGCTGAAATGATATGTATTGTTATTCTCACGATTCGATACTGGGATTGTATTGCGATTTGATGTTCCAAACATATTGCTCACTATATGTCTGCTGCAGGGACAAGAGAAAGCACGATAAACTAGTTTTGATCAGTCAGGGAAATAAAAGTGCTGAAAGCATGTTGGCTCACTATTTAAAAAGGAGATGAAGAACAAGCTATAGGATGAAAAATACCGGCGTTTTGGCGCACGTACAGCCGACTAGCGCTAGCTAACGCTACCTACAGCAGCAAAAATAGCCTTCTTACTTGGAGCCAAAAATAATGTTGCGATATGTAACTGTATCAAATTTTTCTCCCCCATCACTAACATACATTACATAACAAACAGGTATCTTCCAACGTTACTATAGACTAGTGTGTACAAACTTAGAACAGGCCGTTAAAACAACAATGTAAAGCAGGGGTCCCAAGGTTGTGACCCGTGACCCCATTTTGATATGCATTTTTTCGAGACCACACCATGTAAGAAAAACGGGATGTAATCAACAGCCAATGTTTACTTTTTTTAATTGGGGATATGACAGTCTATTACAAATCAGACTGACAGTATTTCAATCTGAAGGAAGTATGGTTTGAAGTGACTGAAATGCATCAGAAAGGTATTGGGAAGTCAGAAGATAATCAGGCATTAATATGGTATGATCTCATTGATGATGATGTTCTTTTCCACCCAGTCTGATTTAGTGCCTGGTCTAATGAGTCCTGTGCAGCTTGTGGGCATTGTATAGAGAAACAGACACATGCGTGTTCCTGAGAGTCTTATCTTTCAGTGATGGGGTCATAATATTTTGTAGCTTAAATGGTTCAAAAGATAGAGCGACATTTTTAGAAAGAAAACAGAATCCGCTCTGTTTATTACAACCGCATCTAGGAGCTACCGGAGGTTACTGAAGTAACCCCTATGAACCAAGCGCATATTTTTCTCTTGCAACCCCATCCTAGTTTGGGAAACGCTGATGTAGAAGGAAATGCGTGTACAAACGCGCTCAGATGTCAACTGGTTGTAACTGTAACATGAATGATTAAAATAGTCCTTTACAGCGCTAATCCGCAGTTGAATCAATAACAAAGTGAACACCCCTCTGTTTTGGTAAAAAGCTGAGGGATGGGCCTGGAGAAATGTAACCACTCTTAAATTCATAGAGCTACAGTATGTATCCAAAGTTATTGTTTAAACCATGCTTTGAGGCTATACAGCGGTTGTTTACATTTACAAACATTGGAGTAAAACAAGCTTATATTTTAGGTTGTGGTGTGGTGACAGTTGTAATAAGCTAATGAGAAATGTATAAGTTATATTCTTCAACAATCAATGGGAATATATGACTAATTTATAAATCCCAAAACTGATGTAGCAACTACAGACTGCCCCTTTAACTGAATGGATACTTTCTGAATTTAATGAATGGGTACTTGGCATGCAGAGAGAAAGAGGGAAAGAAAGAGAGAGGGGGTGGCATGAGAGGGAGAGAGGGGTGACATGACATAAACAGATAGAGAAAGACAGAGCGCTTCAGTCCAGAAATCTCTCTGAAACAGTATATTCCTGATTATAAGACCTGCCTTCTCTCCTCCTCCTCCTCCATCATGCTAGTACTTCTCCTTTTTCCTCTCACGCCACATTTTTGCTCAATGCAGGCCCCTGCACGCCACACCAGCTACTCTCACACAGAGACACTGGTACAAAGGCTCTCTGTAGACTATCCCTGCCCTGGGGAGAACTGGAGCCATGTATCCCTTCACATAACAGATCATCTCCTTTACTAGTGTTGTTCTAGGCCAGGGATGGGCAACTCGGCCCACCTTTTGTAGGCCCACGGATCAATTTCCACACACAAAAAAAGTCTTAACTCTCAACTAGGTTAGTAGAATACATAATGTGCAATTTGGAAATGTGGTCTTGCATCAGCAGTTCTCGTTATGTCAGTTACTGACAGTCACTCAATTAGCCTATGTCAGCAAAACATTTTTAGATTGGCAAATTATTCTAGCGGCCAGCTATCTAAACTTGTAGTAATCATGGTTTAATTACCAACTGGGGGGGGGATTGATTTTGTTAGTCACACTCATATCATATTAAAAACGGCTAATTTTTCTCTCCATCCCATGGCAAAATTTGTACAATTGCATGAAATTAGTTACCCTATAAAATTGCCAAATCTTCTCTCTGCACCATGGCAAAATGTGTAGAATTGCAGCAAACTTTCAGCATTTGCTCTATGCCCCATGACAGAATGTGTAGAATTGCAGGAAATTAAAGGGTAGGTAGCATAAATGTAACCACGTAACGTGGATTTGCATTAGTATACGGATCAAAAGTCCCAATACAAAGTTATACCTCATTTTCTATTTTTCGAGTTATTACATAAAACCGATCAGAATTCTGAAGAATGCCGAAGTCATGTCGGAAAATGTTTTTTCGGGGGGTAATGTAATATGGAGGACCCAGCAAGCCAGCCTATTCCCTATAATGTAAACTCCAACAGAAATAACTTCAAATGTATAACTTCAAATTAAACCAAATCATTTGCACTCATGATTACTGGTTTCAATTACATTTTCTGCCAACTTATAACCAAATGAATTTATTGTTACAAATCAACTTGCAAGGTTGCTAGCCAACTTGCCTGCTAACGTTAGCCCTATTAGCCTACTAACGTTAGCCCTACCAGGCTGCTAATGTTACGTTTGCACTACATGAGTCAGCCAGTTGCTATCAACACCTAGCTTACAACTACATTAAAGTAAACCAAAGTTTTGGAAATACATAACGCCATCTAACCAGTTATCAAAGAATGTTAGCTATATGTAGTAATCTTAGCCAGCCCAGCCAGCTAACATTAGCTATTTAGCCAACTAGCTATTAGCCTAGCCAGCCTAGCCAACCACCACGATTATGGTCAGCAAGCAAGAGCCCAACTACTGGAGACCAGCTAGAACACAACACAACTAAAACATAACCACAGATCAAAGCAAAGTGAGAGCAGAGACTTACAGATTGATGGCTGGGGCCCATCCAACCACCACGGTTATGGTCAGCAAGCTAGAGCCCAACTACTGGAGATCAGCTAGAACACAAATAACACAACTAAAACATAACCGCAGATTAAAAGCAAAGAGAGGGCAGATTTACAGATTGATGGTAAAACTTTTAAAAGAGTGCAGGCTGAGTTAGCTACCAAAGGGAGGGGGAGTGGCGGTTCACGGGGCCAAGGGCGAGTAAAGGAAATCCAAAATATACTGAACAAAAATATAAACGCAACATGTAGTGTGGGTCCCATGTTTCATGAGCTGAAATAAAAGTTTGCATGGGTGGGCCTGGGAGGCCTATGCCCTCCCAGGCCCACCCATGGCTGTGCCCCTGCCCAGTTATGTGAAACCCATAGGTTAGGGACAAATTAATTTATTTCAATTGACTGATTTCCTTATATGAACTGTAACTCAGTAAAATCGTTGAAATTGTTCCATGTTGCGTTTATATTTTTGTTCAGTACAGATAGATTCCTGATGTCTGTCAGCTAGCGCGCTAGCACTAAGTCAAGGTGGAAAAAGTTACAAAACTCCCGTAGCCTACTTCACAGAGAACATGCCGAAAAGTTTACAAAACAAAAAGGAGAAAAGACGAGGTACTATAAAATTTGAACAAGCACGTATGATTTTCTCTTTCGTTTTGAGCCCATGGCAAGAAGGCACCAGAGTCTGCCATGCTAACGGATTCCCACTAGATAACACAGCCACAAAGTCTGAAGAGAAAACTGCATGGCCGCACGTGCCCCATCTGCTTCTTGTTTACATCACACTTCATGTGATTGGTGAGCTACAATCCACCACCGCAAACATTTGGTCTGGAATGTAATTACATGCTAGCATGGCTAGTGGCTAGCTTGAGCTAGCTAACGCGCCAGCATATGAACTCGGTAGCACAGAGTAGATCCTCCATATGACATCGAGAAATAGTGCATTGTGGGTAGTTTAGAAGATATCCGGAAATAAGTTAAAACTCCAATATGTAACTTTTTGGGCGACCCAATCATTGAAATCAAGTCTAAGAAGTGGTAGATCTGTTCTATGTGCACTATTTCTATGCTTCAATGTTTTTAAGTTTCGTTTATGCGTCTTTTACTTTCAGTTTTGTACACAAGCTTCAAACAGCTGAAAATACTATAGTTTTGGTTATGGAAAATATATTTCACAGCGGTTTAGATGGTACAATGATTCTCTACACCAGGGGTTCCCAAACTTGGTCCTGGTGCCCCCCCTGGGTGCACGTTTTGGTTTTTGCCCTAGCACTACACAGTTGTTTCAAAGAATAAAAGCTTGATGATGAATTGGTTATTTGAATACTTGCTTGTTTTGTCACATAAACTGAAATTAGGCGAACTATTAGAATGTTTGCAACCAGGAAATGGCGGAGCGATTTCTGATTTCTGCATAGTGCATCTTTAATAAATATGTAATAATCCAAAAACATAACTATGCTTGTACTTACAGTAGTTGTACTCATGATCTGGTTACCTATAAGTTACTTAAGCAATAAGGCCCGAGGGGGTGTGGTATATGGCCAATATACCACGGCTAAGGGCTGTTCTTATGCACGACGCAATGCAATATACCACAAACCCCCGAGGTGCCTGGTTACCAACGTAATTAGCTCAGTAAAAATAAATGTTTTGTCATACCCATGGTATACAGTTTGATATACCACGGCTTT